CCTACCTAGTTTGTTTATTGGGGTGCGCCGACTACAATGTCATTTTGCGCCCTCGTCCTATTCCTGAAACTAGTCCAAGTACCATATAGATATGCCTAATATAGGTACTTTTATGCTTGGTGAATTAAATGCATCCCCGCTTCACTAGCTTTTAACAATCATCACAAGTTTTTTTCCCACTTGGATGGTCGATCCCCATCAAGATCATCAAGATCAAGCAGTTTTCAGTCATCGATTTTTCATCTGGCCCAGCCTAACTCCTACTGGAAATTGTGATAACGTTTACAGATTCTTGGACGAAGCCCTAGGGCCAGAATCCTTCCAGCAGCCATCTATAAGAATATTGGCCCTGACTTTGGCCCTGACTTGAAGAATCTTGGCCCTGACCATTGACCAAGCCCTGACAACTGAGTGCCCGCACTATAGATCAGGGTATCTATGCCCGCACCATGTTGGGGCCCGTGATGGGCTTTTGTTGTGATGAAAGAAGATTTTTTTTTGGATTTCTTACGTCATTCGTTGAGGCTGCCTAAATAAATCAATTCAACCACGCATTTCGGTAACCTTGACTGTATTATGCGCAGCGGCGGCGGGTCATAATAAATTTTGTCATAACTTTGTTAAACGGTCATAACCTTGTTCTGTAAGAATCTTGGTCATAGCAACATCAAAACATACATCGCCTGCCGGGTATCGCGAAGAATATCAGGGTAATTTCAATTTATGTGTTTGTCTATGATTGTAAGCATACGAAACAGGTATTAGTAGAGCAGACGTCACACGAAGGTTTTCCAACCAAGGAGAGCCGCTATGCCTGGAGGCACTTCTTTCTAACAAAACCTAAACAAAGCTAACCTAACCTAACCTGACCTAACCTAACCTACAACCTACAAACCTACAAACCTACCCTACAACCTACAAACCTACAGCGCCTCTCCTTGGTTGGAAAACCTTCGTGTGACGTCTGCTCTACTAATACCGGGCTCGGTCCTTGTGAATCCCGTCATTCATATATTTGGACTAAATTTTAAAAAAAGTATTTTTGAGTGCATCTTCCCTAACACTGGCTGCTTGTGTTTTGCCTGTTTTTTTTCCTTGAAACTGACAGGGTGCATCGGTATTCACAGGATAGCTGACCAGCCCGGCTTTCCTATGCCATACATTGTTGTTAAGGGTAACCTGACTCCACGAGAGGAGGGCCGGAATCACTGGCTGGTCTCGGTTTCTGGCCTGAAGGGTGAGCGGAGAAGGCTACTCAACTGGTGAATGGTTGCCGATTTCTTCGACTCGACCGGGGATTCTTCACTTATCCAATTTCACTCTTGGCGTCTGTTGCTATTGTCACTTTAATTTGGGATAGTCCTACACTGATAAATACGTTGGTCATACTTGAACTATATATATATTGATATACTTCAAGAAACTTCATATCACAATAGTCAAAATATAATTTATTGCAAGGTTCTTTACTGACACTATTATTTATTTTCCTTCCTTACATGCCCTCACTTTCCTTTTAAAGTTCTGCTTGAAGTAAATGTCATTATTTTGAGGTCTTATCTCTCATACAATCATTTATCCACTCTTGGACAGCAACTTTATAAACGGGCTTTTCTTATAATGAGTCAGAATACCTAACTGTGCTTTAGTTGAGCTGTAATGGCGATTATTCATGCTGATTTGTATCAAGACACCATTAGGAATTGAAACTGACTTTGGTGCTGGCGCTGGTGCCGGTGGCATGTGGTGGTGGTCTGTCGTCAGTTATCGCGGGTCGAATTTGCATCGTGCGAGCTCCATGCTGCTGGTTGTGGTGCTTTGAAAATGCTTTGGGTGCTGGATCCAGTTACTACTGAATAATGTTCTACAAAGGCAGTGAAAACTGGTATTGATGTTGCGTGTCCCACTGTCCAGTCCTGCCTCGCTAGTCACTACTCCACCTCAGCTTATGGTCTCGGTGGTTGCACTTTCTCAGGCATTTCTGTTTTTTAACACCACTGTCGCTCAGCGCAGGGAGCGCCATCTCCCGTCGTCGGGGCGGAGCTCTCCCTCCGTGTGTTTGTCCCTTTGGCCGCCATGCGTCGCCACCGTCGCGCCGTGTCGCCATTGCCCGCGATCGTGTTCCCAGGTCAGGACCGGGAGCAGCTGGCGCGCTTCAACGCGCTGGGTCAGACGGACAACTACACGGTGTTGTTCCCGCAGCACCCCTGCGTTATTCTGTCGGCGCTCGAGGTGCTCGGATTCCAGGTGGGAGCTGGTGGGGAAACCGGCGGAATGGAACTGTGGGGAAAGAGGGGATGGGGAGCTGGTGGGGAGAGGGGAGCTATGGGGAGGTGGGCAGAAGAGACTGAGGTGTAACATCGTAGATGCCAATCATATTCTGAAAGCTGTATTGCGTGATTTGGACTCAAACACATTCATCAGCTCCTTATGGCATTTTCCCTATTGAACTGTACGAACTCTATAGCCGACAATTATAGCGGTGCTATTCGCCAATACCACCACAGGCTATAGTCTGCAGTGGTCCCAGTAGAATCGATGCAGTCTGACTGCGGCTCAGTCATTTCCGCACCGGCGCGAACCGGCTCGTATACGGCTTGTATATGGAAGTTGCCGTTCTTTCGTGTATAACTGAGGCGGATGCTTGGAGACTAGTCAGGTCTTTAAACGCTGCAATCCGTTGTTCCTCACTGATGTATTTATTCAGGCTTGCTGCGTAAGAAACGCGATCTTTTTGTTGCCTGATTCACTACCGCCGGCCTGCTGATCGAGGAAGATATAACCAGTTGTTTATGAATGCACCGTACTTGCTCATTCTCTGGAAATGCAGTGAGTTCAGTCTGTTATTGAAGCCGGTTTTCGTCTCGGCAGTCTCAGACTAAGACTCTGCTTGTCAGGGCACGCTGCTCAGCGCACGTGAAATCACTGTTTTATAGCGCTTCACCTGACGAGCGTGACGGCCTCTACGGTTTTCCTTCAAGTAGAGATGCCTACGCGGCACAATGTCTAACTGTTACTGAGCGCAAAGAAAATGTTAAAAGTCTGGAGTAAAAGTCGGAGGAGAGCTGCATCATAATGAAAATTTGTAAAACTAGGCAGGAACCGCATAATAATACTAGACTCATTGTGTCAATACACGTTGCACACCCTAACGTCGTCAAAGAGCTGTTTTTAATCACCTTCGGTTTTAAGTTTCCACGTCTTTGTCACTGAATTGGCGTCCCGTCGATGGTAAGACGTCTGGTTGGTCCGTGGTCGGTAACATTTTCCGATCATTCCGTTTTCCACCTAGATGACAATGATTTTTTCAATATCAATTTCTCTCTATTGTAGCCTGTGTTTTCAGCAGTGATGACGCTGTCTTATTGGCTCCGCCGTTTATCGATCCCTCCCAGCCTTTGAACTCACTTGAACGGACGGTGTGTTGCGTATTAAGTGCCGTACCAGCACTTGTGATGAAAGTCTGCGCCGTTCCGTTCTTGCCATACTGAGCTGAACGATCTCACCGTATCGTACCGCACCGCCTCCGGACTTTGTACGCCCGAACCTGATGCTGCCTACCAGTCTAGCGACCGCATCATATCGTATCGTATCATACAACTGTGCATAACTGTCCCATCTTCTAAGTTCTAACACTACTTCGTATCAAATTTTAAGACCCTCCAACGGATCATCCTATTCAAGCCGGCCTTAATTTATAGCAATACCGCTCATAACACGTCGTGACATTATGAGCTGAGCTGTATTGTAATGGTGGTCCTGTGACCTTCTGGTAACCCTCAACTATCCGGTGAGAGAGACCTGTAGCGGTCAGTTTCTGACCCGTACGCCGCCGGCCGCAGGTGGTGACTTCGTGTCCCGGTGTCCCCGAGGACAGTGACAGCTACGTGTGGACGCTGAAGAAGGAGCTGCCGCCGCCGCCGGACGATCTGGACGACAGCGACAGCAGCTGAACGGTTAGTCCCTCCGACCGGCGCCCCGCGGACTGAAGCAGTGATATAAAATGGACCATCTCTGGCGCACAGTACACGCGCAGTCGACAGTTTTTGCAGAGACTGATGAATTACATACTCCTTTTTGTTTTCCGGTCACTATTCGGGTTTCTCCGTCGCGTTTTACATAGCACGTGGAGCGTACATAATTCGTGTTCAAAGATGGCTCAACAATAATTATGTTTTGTCTCCTCGGTTTCGATGCGTACGCAGGACTGCTTTCACATTGATGGAGCTAAATTGAGTTAAGAGCACGCCTTGTGTTACGAAATACGTATTTTGAAAAGCGGCGCACGTAAAGCGATAATGATTCTGCAGCCATCGTGGCAGAACATTTGTGTTGACTCTGTTTTGGTCATTCTGCATTTTAGTGTCGTTGGGTACCTATCCATTTTGCATTATGTTTTCACAATCCACTTCGTGACCGGTGTTAATGGCTCTAATCATCGTTTTGCGTGATATCGGCCTTGCCACTCTTTATTTCTACGTTTTCTAGCCACGGGGCCATTAGCACTTCATTCCGTCGCATATTATGGCTTATGACGTTCATAATGCTCATTAGATCGTAACGTATAGTACATGTATGCTGTAGGCCGTAGGGTAGGTAATATCGTTATCAATCGCAATGTATACTATGGTCCAGCTGAAGTATTGTATTCCATTCCACAATATGACTCGTCCTCCATCAATGACATTTATCCGTGCGGGCTGCAATACTGATGCGCTATCGCCGATGACCACTGTGGCCCGGTTGCCCCAATCCCCATATCACCATCATCCGATGCGCTATGATATTTCGTTCTGGTCTTTCTGAAACTAAGCTAACCACTCACTACCGCGTGTGCCGCGGGATGCACAACATCGCGCCAGTGTGCACCGTTCGTTGACAGTGCGGTGATGGACAGCCGCACGGCGCGACCTTGGTACTGCGGTGCCCGCCCGTCCGACCACAACAGCGCGCGGTGGACGGACGGGCGGCCTGCTGCTGCTGATTCAGTCGGCGTGCCAATGCGACCGGCCCGCCACACCGTCCGCAACTCGCGGCGGATCGCGCCGGTATAGACCGGCTGTCCGCGGCCCTGATAACACACAGGACCGCGCAGTGGCATCGCGACGGGAAATGTCAGTCCGTCACATCTGGATGTTTTCGCCTTTTGATGACATAATATTCATATTCAATCGCAATATCCCGTCCTATCAATGATAGAAATGTGGAACGGCTAGATCTATGCTGGCATCCTGTGGCACGCGTTTTTTTTTTTTACTGTCAGTACGGTTCGATGGCATGTCTCATGTCACAGTCCCCTCGTGTGCCTTTTCTAACAACACAGGCTTGATTGGTCTCCATGCAAAGGTGGAATGGTACGGTATCGTGGGCAACGCCGGGGGCGGGAATAACCGCGTTGTTAACCCGCCCTAAAACCCTACTTTCTGCTGCCACTGAGTCACGCCTTCTCCGGTAACCAGTCCATGACTGGTCTCCGTGAACACATCACATCTCCGCAAACCAAATGATCTGTTGGAGCAGGTCATAACCGTCGGACCTGATGATTATGGATAGCCGAGGGCATCTGGCTGATGGATTACCCAGCACTGGACGTAGGAAATGTCACTATTCTCGCGGTTTCACTCAGACTGACTCCGCCTACAGATTGGTGCGTTCTAAGGGAAATTCCTATGACGTCATGCTATTCCGGGTGGCTGTCTGTAAGTTGTAATGCGCAGTATAATGTACGCAGTAGCTACAGTAACTGCGCCAATTCCCACATTTCCTGCACTATTGACGAGTTGCAAATTTCCCGTAAGCCCAGTTCAAGTCCATGTATCGTACCCCAGCGATTGTGGAGAGATGCACCTCGTCAAAACAGTAGCGCGTTTCATAACAATGTTGCATCATATCGCTAGATCAAACGCCGACGCTCTACTCAGGATGGTTGGATAGGGATGCATGCGACATGCTCTGTGTCTTGAACTGCCCTTTGATCTGGGAATCCTTGCGGACTGATGTGGGCCGTGACTACAGTCGGTGATCTCGTCACCACGCTGTCCTTCCGTGGTGCTAGGCGTGGTTATAAAGCCAGGAGCTTCGTTTACGTGCACCCGTATTACGCAAACGGAAGCACTTGGGTGGCAGACTTTAATTTTAGACTCCGTGCTCGACAGGCACGAGGCAGTGCCTAAACACACACTCACAGCGCTTCTTAGGCTCAGTGCCAATACGTGCTTGCTGAAGGAGTGACGATGTTGCCGAACTTGCCCCGGTCGGCTGTTTGATTTATGGGACATTTTCCGATTGGTGGTCAATTCTGGAAGCTTAGCTGTCAATGAACGAGCCGCAGTTGAACACAGTGCATTTGTTATGCTCTCATACAGAGGCCAGACACATAATTTATTTGCACATTTCGAATGCGGTCACATTAGGGAAGGCACGGCACAATTATTCCGCAACAAGGTCCGCTCGGCTATTTCTAGGCATCGTTTATAAACTTCACATTCCATAGACACTAGCTTTCATTTTTTTTATCATTTCATCCTACATGCATCGCTCCAGTTGGTAGCTTCAAGTCGAATGTCTCAGCCTGGGCTGATGTTACGATCACTGATTTACTGATTCATTCGCTCCTCACTTTCACAATACAAACTTCGGGATTGTTTCCATTTCATTAGATACATCTCAGCCTCCATTTCTCGCTGCTCTCTCGGAATTTTCCTCTGCATTACGATACCTGGCCGCCACTCTGACATTCCGCCGGAGCTGGCCACTCGGAGGAGGCGCCGCCCCCCCGTCCCCCGCCGCGTCACCGGTCGGTCGGTCGGCCGGTCCGCCGGCGACCGGTTCGTGCGCCAGCCGGCTCCGCCGCGCCGCGCCGCGCCGCGCCGTCCTCCCCGGCCGTGCTGTTTTTCTCCGGCGCCGCCACCGAGCGACTGGGGCGGCGTGAGGCCGCGTGACGGCCGGCGACCAGCGCCGCCAGTCGGTCCGACGCCTCTGCGCCGTGCAGGTGTCCACGCTGTGTGCTGTGCTGTGCTGTGCTATACCGTATCGCACGCTGTCGTACCGAGCACTGTGTCGCGCTGTGCAGCGCTGAGCGCCACTGTCCGTCAGTGCCTGTGTGTGATCGCTGCTGTGTGTCCGGCCTACCGGAGGGCAGATAGGAGGAGGAAGTGTGCCGAAGCTGAAGCGGAAGCGGAGCCGACCATGTCGTCCATGGTGCCGGCAGAGGTCAGGAGGCTGTCCAGCTGTACGTACGCACCGCCGGCGACGATGCGTAACCACGGGAATGCGCCGACGGTTATTGTTAGGTCTGCCCCCGCCCCGGCTTTCGATTCTATTTTAGTCAACGAGGAATGGTGAGAGTAGGGTATTGGTGGGAAGGATGAAGCTGAGGAAATAGCCACTGAGTCTTATGTTACAGGCAACTACAGTTCCACACAACTGATGTGCCAAAGCGGGTGGCGAGATTGTCTGCGGCATTTAGAAATGTCGAGGAGGCTTAAGGCTCTCCAGAATTGCTTCCTGCCACTCCTGATAAACTTATCCATGCGATTGGATCCGGTAGTTGTGCACCGCGTTCCCGTCTGCATGACGAGAACTTAAGCTGTAATGCAAATGTCCAAGACTCCGAAATATATATCAAGCAAACTATGTAAAATGTCCCGAGGCCCACAGCCAAGTTTCCTCTCAACAGTCCAGGAATTTATCGACACTTCAGCATTCATCGACTACCTCGTTTAGATAAACATACAGACTACCGTCATATTTCAATCACCCTTTCAAATCCCGACTGAAATGACTACCATCTCCCTGCCAGTGGAGGAGAAGTTTGCATCACCAATACCGCCCACCAATCCACCATCCAACGGGTCGCTGAGCATTGCCGACCGGTGCGGGCACGCGCGCTGCGTGACGATGCCGATCGTGTTTTTGTGACGACCCGTGACAGCGCTCCTGCGGCTGAGGTTCGGCGTGGTTTGCAGTATGTGTGCTTCCTGCTTCAGCTGTTGCCTACTGAAGCAGAAGAGTGGAGAATTTTGGTTTGTGTGGGGTAAATGGATGAATTTGCAACGTAAATGCCCCTGCTAATTGGTGGTGATTGAACACAAACGATATCGTAAAGACGCCTTTGCTCCGCTATTACCTGAACGAGCCTGTTACGTAGTCTTGGATCCTAACCACTTGACCTAGAAATTCCAGCTGGATTCGGAGGCGAAAGTTAAACGTTCCCCCGCAGCCGAACACATCTTGCTCTATAAGGTTCATCCACTCTTTCGCCCGGCCGTGCTAACGGTTTCTGACTGCGGGTTGTTCGGGTCCTCTCCGTCCGAACGATGAAACAGCGGTCGCCGCGGTGGCTCGAACCGGACCCTACCGGTCTCCCCCTACTATCTCTGCCGATGCCACGGGCTGACTCGACTCAAGAGCGGCTCTGTTTACTCAAAGATTAAGTGTATACTGTACATGTCTTGACAGAGTACATGTCTTTTCACATTGTAAACAATCGCTCGTTGCAAAGGAGCTAGTTGCAGACACATCCGCCTCATTATGCTTGCGTGGATGACGTTCTCAGCCAGCCGTTTGGATTGTTGAACAAAAATGTTATGAGCCAACCGTGACTGATGCTGGTTTGGTCGTTCAGTGGTGTGGTGCATCACCATTCACTGTGGTGTGTGTGTATCATAGACCGGCACTCCGGAGCTTGTTGCTCATCCCGACGCCGGTAAGGCTCAGAGGCATTTCATACGCTCAGTTGCTAGTGACCGTGAATAACTCAGCTTCTCGAGGCGAAGGACATTTTGAAGACAGATAACCGGTGAAATTTTCAAAAGGAGAAAAGCGGAAAAGGTTGTTTTGTTGATGTTGCCTCAGAAAAGAGCCGTGAGTCAATCAATAGCGCTCAGTTCGGCCTAAGGCATTTCCCTTTTCGTTTTATTTTACATGTGTGAAAAGCGTCTTTCACTCGATTTTCTGACTTGTAGGTATTCTTTACCAGAGATGTCAATCGGATACCAACTTTTCCTTACCATGTAGTACGTGCATCAGGAAGCCACCGGACAGGTGTGGTTTGTGGTCGAAGCTGTAGCCGATTCAGTACCCATTTAGTCGGCCCTTTTCTTAAATGTCATTCACAATTCACATGAACCGCTACTGGCTCGCCTCGGGATCACATGATCAAACCAGCTCGATTATCCCGTGCCTAGGTTAGAATTTTTTTTAATGGGTACACTTCAACCGCCGATGCCACAACTTCGCTAGGTCCGTGTTTTTCTGGCTTTTCCTGGGTGCTAAGTTTCTAGGCTTTTTGGTTTGACTTTATCACTGAAAAATTGTAGAACTGATCAACAGATTGGAGTTGTTTCTGCTCGCGTCGCCGCGGAATGCATTCATTGCCTTTACAAACTACAAATCTCACTTATCTCTGTCAGGATAATGTTATTGAGACCACGCAGTGTAAGATGTATGGTGGGTGTTGTAGGAACCGTTTTTGCCTTTACGTTCCTTTTACATTTTTTTAAAGATTAGGTGCTGATCATCATTTCGGGGGGTGGAATGATAGTCCGGGCTTCCTGAGATCTTTTATAACCTGAACGGAGTTCTATAGCCTTGACCTGAAGAAGTAAGCACCACATATTTATTCAGCCCAAATTCAGGCATTGAATTGACAATGTTGTGTTCACTTACCACCGCCAATAACCATGCGTTTATCGAGTGGGATCTTCGGACAAGAACGCAACGACTATAATATTCTGAAACTTAGGGGGGGGGGGGGGGGGGGGGGAGGAGGAGGCCGGGCTCAGATTAATGCAACTTGATAGATGCCTAGCCCCGAGTTGCAATATTGGCCAAGCGGCATCAACGAAAGGAGCTACCTACGAGCTTTCCGAAGCCGCCATTCTGTAATGCGTTATGCTTGTTGTCCGCCCTTACGTCGTGTTCACTTGGGAGCACGGGTGGAGAATGTTTGAAAAAGTTACCCCGGCCGGCGACCGAAAGTCAGAAAGACGATGATGCTCAAATATTTGTCAACGGTTATCAACAAACCCCTATTCTGTGGCATAGAATAATGGATGTCTGCCGTTTGTACGTTTTTAGGGAAAACTGCTGCACGCAGGTGCGGAAGATTTCGTAATTGTAACAACAATTTTGCAACACGCCTTAAAATTTCGGACGCATGTCACCTAGTGCTAGGTCAGGTCATCACTTCAGGTCAAATTTGCTGGATGATCGTGCTAAAAATGCCATCATGCCCTTTGCAAAGCTTATTCCGTGGAAGTTGCAACCTTCCCACACAAAACAAAATGTCAAATTTGACCGTTTTGACCCTCTTATTGATTTGAGCTCGCACCTGAAATATTATTCGCGACCGAGCCTTAAACGAGTGATCGAATGTTATGTTTGCAGTGTTTAACCCGCGCATGACTGGGGGGGGGGGGACTCAACAGAGCCCCCCCTCATGTTTTTCAGCAATATCTTCTAAACCGTTTGACGGATCAACACGAAACTTGCGGTACCCTCAGAGGCATCAATTTGACACCTTGTGTTAAAATTTCAACTTTCTAGCTACCATAGTTTAGCCGGAAATGACGTCAGAGTGACGTCATGTCGGCCGACTTTCATGCAAAATACTGAAATACGGCAAACGCTCTCAAGAGCTCAGTTTTAAAGCTAGATCCATTTTCTTTGCATGAGTGGACTACAAATACACGTAGCTATCGAACTGCAATCTCGAATTTTCGAAATTTTGAAAATTTTGAAAATTTTTTATTTACAATTACAAAAATATATTTGTTGATTTTTTCAAAAAGTTTTTGACTTTTCGCAATAACCGGAATATATGTGATAGAACACACACTGATGAACTACATTTGCAAGTTTTAGCCCAATATCTTCAAAAATAGCCAAGTTATTCGCATTATTGTCAAAATTTTGCAATTTTATGTTTTTTTTTCAAATCCATTTTTCAGTACGTTTTTGACGTCGTACATCAATATAAATGGCACCATCGTGTTTCTGAGCTCAAACCGCATCTGATAGGCACTTTTATTGTTGAAAAATTTTATTTTCAAAATTTGACCTTTTCTGACCTGAAAGTGACCTGACCTCCGGTAAATTCAGCTGACAATGACCTCAAATGACACAGACAGCACTATTTTCGAAATCTACGAGTAAAATGGACTATAAAACATGCGTCACGTGACCGATACATGATATACAATTTTCGTGACCTAGGATGACCTGGCCTTGACCTTAAAAATTCGAAGTAAAAGTTCGGTACCCTTAGGGTATCTAAGGCATCCGTCAAGGAGTGCGTAAACCAAAAATGAGCCTGATCGGACCGGCGGTCCGGCGGTCAGAGCCTTAATTGTGAACTAACAAAAATGTCGATAATTTTTACTTTGACCTGACCTGTGACGTCATCGGTGACCTCGAGGTCAATGAAAATAGGTTTCGCTCGACAGTTTCTCCAGGGCTATCAGACGTCGTTTGAATTTTGACGATCGGCCCAGTAGTTTCGGAGATAGGAGGGGGGGGGGGGGGGGCTCTGGAGAGCCCCCCCCCCAGTCACTCGCGTTATGGAAAATACCCCAGTCATGCGCGGGTTAAGCTCCGTTATGTTCATGAACTGTGAGAAGAGTTGTCGGAGAACGCTCAAATCAGAGAAATTTGGCTTTTGATGATCTATGGTGATTTTATTATTGAGCTTGCCTAAAACATGACCTCTGATCACGTTTGTCGCTCTTTCAAACGTCGTTCCGCTTCTCGCCTCGTAGCCCAGTAGCTGAGTTAGAAGGAGCATGAAAAGCCCACCTCTCGACTCAACGTGTTACGATAGGGCCACCACCCTGGCGCGGGTTAAGTTGGGGGAGCCTTGAGCCCCAGCAGCTCGTCCTTCTATCTCACTGATATTACCCTCGTCCTGTCTTGTGATGGTATACAGTGCCATCTTACGATAACGGCCCTTAACTATGATTTACTTCTGTTTGATGAAACATGTGGGGCTCCGCGATGAAAAGACTTAAAAACATAGAAGCTCCAAAATGAAAATAAAGTAAATTTTCAAAAACTTTTCAAGGTAGATAAGAATAATGAGAGACGCTTTTATAGATGGCAGTTTTTTCGTATGGAGACAGCTTTTAGGATTTACAAAAGTGGAAAAAGTTACCCCGGCCACGGCCGGGATGGCCGGGGCAGGTTCTCCACCCATGCTTGGGAGATCGTCGATCGATCACTTAGGAAGCGAGTGGCAAGGGACGCCTCCTTCAGTTCCATTAGCATACGCTGCTCTGCGTCTCCGTCAGGATAGCGTAGAAATAAGCGAATGCAGCGCACATCTGGCTTACTTCGCCCGCTCGGTGGCTCGCTGTCGAATCGGCGCACAGTGGATTTGATGTCACCTCTTGTCGGTTTGCAGGTCCCAACATGCCGTCCGTAACCCACTACATCGCCGTCAAGGGCTCGCTCTTCGCCGTGGAGACGTACATCTTCGGCATCAACGACTCCCACTTTACTGAGGAGGCGCAGAAGGTACGTGCGAAATCCTGAAAGCTAAGCCATCTTTTTGTTTCTAGATCCTTTATTGTTTGATTACATTGCTATCCGGACCCGGTAAAGCAATCAAATTAATCTTGCTCTTTAACGTGGACTATTTTTTTTTTGCCACTGCGTCAATTGATACGTACGTTGGCAGACGAGCTTCCGGCTCATTTGTTAGACTCTTTACTGGTGCGTATTTCTTTATCGATTTAGGACAACTGTGTCTAAAGCTGCTGTTCTACCTGTGTGGCTGTAACTCCTCTCTGACGGCCCGTAGTCCTCCGTTAGCTGCGTGCCTGTAGTTGTAACCCATCACTGACGGTAGTTTGACCCCCCCCCCCCCGTCCCCGGCAGCTGGGCGTCACCGACCTGACGGTCAGTCAGTGCGTCAACGGCGTCATCCTCAACCGGGACCCCATGTACGTGGTCAACCTGGTGGCCCGCTTCGGCTACGAGGTGATCGCCGCCTCCGGTGGCCAGGAGTGCATGTGGACCTTGAAGAGAACCATTGAGATGTAGTTCTGCACTCGGCCCACACGCGTCGCCACCGTCGCCGCGCCGCGTCAGTGGAAGGGAGGGAGGGTGAACTGTGCTGACTGCTAAAAAGCACAGCCGATGCGGTTGGTATGACCGAGTCGGCCTTCAAGCGGTGTCTCCAAACTGTTCTTAGAGTAGTTTGGAGGGTGTAGCGGGCTGGCTGAGCTAGGTAGCATGCATCTGACGATTTTATCGGCCGAATGATCTGAGGGAGAGTTATTTGGAAATGCGACTTCAGTCAATCCAAACAGCTTTAGTGGTGAACTTCAGATGCGTTTGAGGCTTTCAAAATGTTTTCGATCAAAGGAACGGTACAAAGCACAAAATGGATGCTAGGTGTGACGAGTGTTACTGTTACCCGAATAGCAGTGATGCGTTATGTTACTCCCTTTGCACGGTTATTTACTCAATTATTACGTTATTTGCCTTGTTTACGTCCAGTGTTGAAAGGATAGGTCCTTATATCTTGCCGATGAGTTAGAGAATGCACCACAAGGGCGCAAACATATATGTCGAGTAGCGTACCTCATTGTATCGATGTAGGTTGTGGTCGTCTGGTGGTGGGTCTCCCTGGTATCTGAGCGTGTTGCGCGTACCCTCTTTTCTCTCCCCGAGCGCCCCCATCTGCGCTACAGCGCTTGTTTTTGCGCCGGCGCCGCGGATTCGAACCCCCGTGGCCCGTGCCTGTCCCGTCCGGCCCGACAGCCCGGCTGAGTGGACGGTAGGGTGCCGCACTGTGCCATCTCGCTGTGATCGGAACGTACCGTGTTTGTGTGCGTGTTTGTGTGCGTGTTTGTGGTCCTGTATCGTTTGCCTTAGATCGGCGGGAGGCCGCGCCCAATGCTGTGGGCCCCGCGTTGGGCCTTGTAAGGTCCTTCATGGCTAGACTCCCGGGCGGTAGCCGTGTGCCATTTTCAATGTCAAACTGCTTCCTAAGAGCCGCCGCGCTCGTCATGGACACACCACCTCCACACGGCTTGTCGGCCATCGTGCCATGTCAGCTACCACCACCGCCCCGCCAAATGAGAAATACACGTCATCTCACAGCATGTCCCAGCGCGTGTGGAGTGGAGTGATGGAACCAGCCTCCCCGGCAATCTGTTCGTGCGTGCCGAGTCACCAGTGAGTGTTTTTAGAGTTCCAGACAGCACCAGTCACCATCAGATAGATGTATTGAGGGTAATAAACCGTCCTAGCGCTACCACAGTACACAGTCACCGCCGCACTGTGTGATAACAATGGTCGCCACGCACACACACGCGATGCGCACACGCACACACCGCTCCAGGTGTCTCCGCGGCGCCGGCCCGCCCGCCGGCGGCCGGCCAGTCCCGTCCCATGCCGGCGGCGCGGCCCGGCCGTCCATCACAAATGCACGCGCCCGCCGCCGGTCTCAGCCGAGCGGCGAGAGCTGACAGTGGCGCAGCAGCGCCGAGAGCGCCTGTTTGAGCGCCGGGGTGGCGCACCCGCCGCGGCCCAGCACCACCGTCTCCGGTCGGAGCTGGCGGCGCGCCGCTGACGCCGCCGTCAGCTGCGCGCTGACCGGCTGAACCAGCCGCTGGGTCGGCAGGTCCACCTGCGGCGGGAGGCGGCGTCAACGGACTGAGGGGCGAGGGGACTGGGAGGGAAGTGAGCGGGGAATTGCAGCACATGAGTCACCAGATAACAGCAAGACATGGCAGAGGTGACACGCAAAGGCAAACTGTTGCTTATAACGCTCACGATATTGGTTTATTGGTTCGCACTCAACATAACCAACCATTTAAAAAGAGCTTTGACGTTACAATTCATACACGGAAAGGTAGATTATTTGGATAATTTGGTCATTTATCAGCCTCATACCCAACAAACATTAAGCATCATCTAAATCCACCGTGTCACTCCTACCTACCTCTCCCATCATCCCTCTCCTTTCCTCACCGGACAATTGACAATATTGGTGAGGAGCTCGTAGGTGACCGGCCGCCGCTGGCGCACCAGACTGCGCATCTCTGCCAGCAGCATGGCGAGCCGTTTGTGCCGCTCGCCGCTCTCCGACGGAGAGACTGCCGCCTGACCCTCAGACGGGGGTGCCGAGTTGGGCTTGGAGCCGCCGCGTGACCTGTGGGGCGGGGGGAGGTGTGAGGTCAGGGGGTAAGGGAGAGAGGACATGTCTAATGCGTGGGTGAGTGTATGGCTAGGGGGTAGACAGCGAAGGGCATAATGTTGGAGTGGTGAATAGGGAGGCTGGGAATGAAATGAAACATTTGAATCATCAATGGCGTAACAATAACACAGAGTCACGAAGCAGAACGCGGGATAAAAATTCGAAGATTACTCAATCAGTTATCAGACGACGCAACGATAACACCGGACAAGCACGCAGAAAATGTCAGCGCACGCACAACTGCATCCATACAATAACACCAGATACCCAGCAGCCTAATCATCCCGCCCGATCCCCGCAAACCTTGTCGACCTATGCAACATCACACGAGGCAAACATCCGTCCTCCAGTGCTCACCCAACACCCTTCCCCTCCCCAAATTACACAACCCACTCCCAACCACCACGCCCGTTCCAGTCACCTTCCTCCCCACTCTCTCTCGGTCGTCCCCACCTTCAACGCCCCTCTCAGAAGAAGCCGCCCCTTTCTATGCCTGTCTGTCTGTCCAAAGTATCTTGTCCGTCTGTCTGTCTGCACCTGGTCTCCTCTCTGTCTCTGTCTGTCTGTCTGCACCTGGTCTCCTCTCTGTCTCTGTCTGTCTGTCTGTTTCTCTGTCTCTCTCTCCCTCTCTCTCTCTCTCTCTCCTCTGTCTCTCTCTCTCCCACCCTCCCTCACCTGCTCGGCTCGTCCCGTTCCCGGTCGCCGCCCGGCCGCGACACGTCCTCCTGTTGTTCCCGCATCTGTCGGCGCCGGTTCTTAGACCACATCTCGTGACAGTCCTGCCACACGGGAAACTTGGGTGGCGTCCTGGAGGGGTGACGGTCAAAGACGGGCGGTCAGCAAAGGTTAGTTGTTGATCGGGTGGCGTGGAGCGGAGTGGCGTGGAGCGGAACGGATATGGCAGGCGCAGTGAGCATACGAAGGCAGCGAATATCAGACAATCAACCCCGGACGAGTTGTTGACGAGTTGAATCTTCACCGGCCAGAGAAGAGGCGATTTTTCCATGAGCAATTAACAATGACGGTCAGAGAAGAGGCGATTGGTGCAAGAGTAATGAAAAATGACATGTTAGTTCATTTGCTCAAATGTTGGTCACATGAACCACTCGAGGAATATAACCGTTTCCCATGCCTGCGGTGCCGTTCTTCCTCGAGCCATTGACTCGAGCTGAGCTGGACAGTTTAACCTCTATTTACATACGTGTAGTTGTATTCCAATCGCCTCCGCTTACCTGTCCGGATTGACCGACTTCAGCCAGGGACTTTCGAGCGCATCTTTGGCTGAGATGCGCTTCTCTGGGTCGAGCTCGAGCATCTTGTCCATGAGGCTGAGCGCGGCCGATGGCATGTGCCAGAACTCCTCCTTGAGGCGCCGCCGGTAGGGCTTCTTGGGTCGGAGGGTGCTCCACAGGGGCAGCTGTACGACCTTGGGCCACACAGACGGACACGGGGAGCCGCACAGCCGGGAGATCATCTCCAGCTGGGCCATCTCCACGTTCGCTCCCTGACGACAGACGGATGGCGAGGCGGTGAGGGGGAGAAGTGATTCAAATTACTCAGAATTTCGCGAAGATCAAGGACGCAACAATCGAAGAACACATCTCAAACACCTGCGTCAAATACATGTCAATGCATTTTTTTCCTTGCTGCAGTCGCGCATGCTACGGTGCACTATGTATAATCCGTTTCGGGTCTTAAGTCGGTTAGCATGAAACAGACCCGACACATACGACATCGGCCGCCGCCATTCTTGTCGCCAAACAGCAGCTTCGTCCTACATGCACCCTCCCCGTCCCAGCACCGTCCACCCAGTATTATTATTATTTATTATTTATTATTACTAATTAGTTATTATTAGTAAAGTAATCTTGCCGTCCACCCACCTGAAAGAGCGGCTTCTTCTGGAAGAGCTCGCCGAGGATGCAGCCGCAGCTCCAGACATCCACTGCGGGCCCGTAGCGCTCCTCTCCGAGCAGCAGCTCCGGCGGCCGGTACCACAGCGTGATCACCTTGTTGGTGTACGGTCGGGACTCCTCGGCGTTGTACAGCCGGGCCAGACCGAAGTCGCCCAGCTTCACCTGTCCCCTGAGGAAGTGAGAAGGTTTGTGAGAACGAGATACACGCTGGCGAGAATGTGGGACTGTGTAGAAATTAAGTAAAGGCATGGCGGTTAGACCTATGATAAGTAACTGACAGCTTCGACCTGACAACGTAATGGCAGACGCCTGACAACGTTGAGCGACAGCAACGCAAACAGCCAGAAACACACGCAAACACAGACTCAACGAACGGGAGGGCAAGACCAAAGCTCAGCAACCCCTCACAGACGACTTTCCAAGCCCATGTTCAGCCGAGCAGTATCTCACTGGTTGTTGAGCAGGATGTTGCTGCACTTGATGTCCCGGTGGAGGAAGTTTTTCCGGTGGCAGTAGCTGAGGCCGTCCAGCAGCTGGCGCATGATGCTGGCGTTACAGGGCTCGTTGAAGTCCACCATCCCTGACTCCAGCAGGCCCATCAGATCGTGGTCCATGTACTCAAACACCAGGTAAAATGAACCCTTATCCTGCTCGGCGGAGAACAAGGGGTCAGAAATACAGCGACTGTAACGCGCTGCTAAGTTCAGGGGTGCAGCATGGAGCGAAACTGTTACGCTACAACTGGGAGAAATGAGGTTCGCGCGTAAGGAAAACCACACGACAAGATTACCACATCATTCCCATAGATGTTTTGAAGTTCGCCCAAAGTTAATATCATGAAAAGTAACTGTTGAAGTAAGTGACTGTCTTATCGCGACCAGCCAACTATCAGCTATGACTACGCACCTTCCGGAAGTCCACAGCCGTCTGTTTGTCGGTGACTATCTCCTTAATATTGACTATGTTCCTGTGGTTGAGCTGACGCAGGATCTTTATCTCTCGGACGGCCGTGATCGGGAAGCCCTCCTTCTCATTCTCGAGACGGACCTTCTTCAGGGCCACCACCTCGCCTGTGAGTGGGGAGAATCACAGGTGTCAGATTTAATGGAGCAGGGGCGGTCACTGCACAGTTTTACAGATAGCGAGGCAGGTCACTGTCCAGAGATAGCGAGGCCCAGATTTAGCGAGTGTTACCTGCTACATCATACCACGTTAGTGACGGCGAAACGAAACTACACTCCGATTATTGTACAGTAGGAAAATAACGCCAACGGCAGCCTGCGACACTGCCTTCAGCTGTCGTTGCACCTACACCGACTGCTTCGCCAAGGGTTCACACCATCCACCTCCAACCCCCTTCATCTCTATCTCCCTCTCCTCAGCCACCTAAAACTGACCGGTATCGAGATTTTTCGCCTTGTACACTTGTCCGTAGGTGCCCTGGCCGACCTGCGCCACCAGCTCGAAGGCGTCCACACACCGGTCGCCCCACGTCTTGCTCTCGGCCTGTGGATGGGGAGGGCAGGCGGTCAGGTGCCGGTGGTTGGCATACAGGGGCAGTGGGAAGCTGTACCAAAGCGACACAGAGCGGGCTTTGGTTACATCATGTGTACACATAATTTTGTATGCGATTCTTGATAGTATCATGGTAGCGAGCATATGTATCACTAAACATCAAATTTAATCACAAGTGTGACCTTGATCTATCATCCTTATCAACCACTTCTCCACATCACGCCAGCAAGTAAACAGACACCGGGACGGATTGCGACATTCCCCAGTCCGATTGCGACACCTCGGCGCACGGACTGACCTCGCGGCATTTGTGGATGATGCGTGGCCGTTTGAGGTTGCGCACCACACGCCGTCGGGCCCCCATTAGCGACATACTGCCCGACATGTTACTGTCCTCATCGCCTGAGGCGTCGTCTGACCCGGCGACCACTGTTGGACAGACACAGAGGGGAGGTCAGACACGCCTGTCACTGGCTTATCATGAGCGATATTAGCGTTCCTTCCAAAGGAAGGAGAGCAGAAAGTTCTTGTAATTAAAAACAGACGATACGAAATTTCAAATACCATTGAAAGCATAGCAGCTGCACTTTGCGACGTGCTTGTATGATATAATGTGCTTGTATAGAGAATACCCCTGCGCCTAAAACAAACGCCTTAAACAGACCTGGCGGCATGGGCAGGTCCCTGATGAGCCGGTCGACGGCGCGCCGAGGCACCGGCTTCTGCTCGGGCGAGAAGTTGTCGGGCGACGAGTCGGCACCCTCCAGCTCGTCCCCCGTCATACCCGGCGGCATGGGCAGCTTGGTCAGGCTGGGCCGGCCGCCGACCGTCGCCGGCGCCGGGGTGGCCGGTTTGGAGGGCGCCGCCGTCGCTGCCGGCGCCGGAGCGGGCTTGGCCTCGGCTTCTGCCGTCGTTACTGTCGGCGCCGACGCGGTGGACGAAGACACGGTGGCGGTGGCGGCGGAGGTGGAGGCTACCGCCGCCGCCGCCGCCGGCGGCGCCTTCCCGTCCGGCCGGTCCTGACTGACGATACGCGGGGGCGGCGGAGGCGGACTGACCTCGATCACGTCCTCGTCCTGATCGTCCTGAGCGCGGCCGGCCTTGTCCTGTACGAGTGGGAGGTTAGAGGTTAATCAGTGTACGTGCACAGCGTTGGACAGCTGACAGGGATGCAATTTAATAATGAAACTAGAGCTAAACATTCCCCCTTACTGGCAAACCCAACAGCTGTGCACAGCCTAGCATTCAGCTATATCCACCATCCAGCAGAATATGTAATCACAAACCAAATGTAGAGAAAGAAGCAAAGGAGTTAAAAACTCACTGCGTGGTTTAATACAAAATGGTGACACTAGTGGACTAGCAGGCAGAAACCCCAAAAAGCATTGCCGCTATATCATTTCTGACATGTCTCAAAGGCATTCAGTTCAACGTCATTCCAAACATCCCGCTGAATCGACGCCATTTTGCCATCGCAGCTCATACCTTCTCCTTCTGGAAGAAGGGCATCTGCAGGGCCTTCTCCCTGATCTTCTTCTGTTTGACCAGCTCGGCGAACAGTGAGGTCTGGGACATTTTGGCCTCTGCCGTCAGCTCGCGGGCGGATGGCGTGCTTCGCCGGGGTGGCGGCGGCGGGGGTGAGCCATGCCGACCGCGCGACGACCGGCCCGAGTGAGACGGCGACCGGGAGCGGGGCGAGCGGGGCGAGCGTGACCGCGACCGCCGCCTGGCGACACACAGGGCGGAGGTCAGAGGTCAGAGGTCAGAGGTCAGAGGTCAGAGGTCGGTGGTCAGTGGTCAGAGGTCAGTGGTCAGAGGCCAGTGATCACAGGTCAAACAGGTCCCAAGGCAGGGCAAGGCAGTGGTCACAGCTCAGTCACGCGACAGAAAATGGCACCGGCTGGGGAGGAGAAACGGCAGCTTATTCAGTTTCGTGTCACTACTTTACAGTGAGCAATTCGGACCGACCTGGAACGTTTCCTGCTGTACGGGGAACTGCGCGAGCTCTTCTTGGAGGGGCGGACCGGACTCCTGCTCCTCGACCGAGAGTAATTCTTCTTGTGCCTGCAGGAAACACGGTCACACAGAACGTCAAGCGGCTGAAAACTTACCAAACACGATTCACGCTGTACAACATCCAGATGAACGCGTACGTAACTTGAGTGGTGGGAAAGCTATTAACCACGTGCAAGAATCTCTTAACACATCGGTCGATAGTGGATTTGAGAAAACTGTCTGCTCACATTGTTTACAATAGGAATGTTACGTTTAAAAACGAGCGCGTTTATCAAACAGGCTTAGCTGGCATTAGGCTAGTGCCGTAAACTGCAGTGGCATACCATCCACAATAACACAGAAAAGGGCACTGAGCCTGAACACAAGCACACATTTCTTGGCCTCTACCTAGAAACAAATTCAAGAGTTTTGACAGAAAATGGTGTTACTCGTCAGCACTGCCAGTAATTCATGCTGTGATTGAAACGAGCCCAACAACAATTAAGTTATATTTCATATATGTCGATACCACACCATGCATTTATCTTAAAAACAACAATATCATGCAACAAATCTACATTCCAGTTCTAAGAGTCATTGAAAAGCATGCTTTTATCAGAAGCAATCTTTTACGACACCACCGTCCATCGGAACTTATGTCAAAGGAAGGAGGATACCTTTTACGAGATTTGGAACGGCTGGATGAGGACTTGTGCCGATGTTTTCTCTTCTTCCTCGAGGAAGGAGATTGGGACACAGTTCGGTTCAGCTGTCGGAGGCACTGCCGCGACGGCTGCTGTCGCTGCTCGGGCCAGGGCGGCTCACCGGAGGGGCCGTGTAGGTGCCGCTGGTGACCTGCGGCCGAGGCAGCCGCCGCCGCCGCGGCCGCCAGGACCACCGCCTGCTGCGGGTGGTACGGGTGACCACCCGCCCCGTGAGGCATCCTCGGGTGATGGAAGGGCGCCGCGCGCTGCATCTGCCCCGGACCGGCCGCCCACGGCGGCGGCAGCCCCGTCCGCGGCCAGGGCGGCGGCCGCCAGTCGCCCGGCAGGGACGGAGGGCGGCACCCACCCGGCCACGGAGGCGCCGACATCGCGGGAGCCATCGGCGCCGACTGCCACCGAGCCCAGCGAGGCGGCACGGCAGCGGCGCCACCCGGCGGACAGCCGCCCGGCCACGGCTGGGGTGGCCTCTCCAGCTGCTGTGACGGGTGCGGCTGGGGTGGCCTCTGCGGCTGCTGCGACGGGTGCGGCTGGGGTGGCCTCTGCGGCTGCTGCTGCGGAGATATCTGCGGTTGGGGCGGCCTCTGCGACTCAGTCTGCCTTGGTCTCTGCTGCTGTGGCTGCGGTCTCAGCGGAGACCTCTGCGACTGCTGCTGCGGCGGCAGGTAGGGTATCTGCCGACGCACCATCGTGATCAGCTGACCCAGCGCATCCACCTTAGGTTTCGCCGGTGCCGGCGGCGAGCCCTCACTGTCGCTGTAGCTGACCAGACGCGGATCGTCCGCCGCCGCTACCGCCGCCAGCTTCGAGCGGGCCCGTGCGAGTCTCGCCGCGGCTGCTGCTGCCTGTGGCGTTGTCGGCTGCTCCGTCTGGGTATCGGGCGTCGCTGCAGCGGCAGACGGCGGGTTGGTTGGACGTGTCGTAGTTCCGACCGGTATGTCGGCCTGAGGCTGGTGTGATACGGATGTCGGCTCTGGAAGATGGCCGTTCGCCGCCACTGGTGGACTGGAGAGGGCAAGGGGACGACGGAAGGAAGAAGTGAGATAGGGGATGGTGATGACGCATTGCTGATGGTCATGATCTTCATCAGGATCAATAAAATGACGACACTACGGAAAACCGAACAGAAGTCTAGCATAGTCAGGATATGAAAAGAAGCAAAACAGCACAAGTATTCAACCATTCGCCAGCCCACACACATATCATGCACATGCCAATGCAATAAATAAACATCACCAAACATTCTGAAAATCTTTGTTTAACCAGCACCGCCACAAGCATTAGTCCAAGTCCCAGCACCATCGTCTCCCCCATGCCGTTTGCAGCATGCCGAGTGCCGACTCACCTGGGCGGTGGAGACCTGCTGTGGCTGCGACTGCGGCTGTGTCGTCTCCGCCGCTCCCGCTCGCGACTCCGCGACCGAGACTTGCGCCGTTTTTCTGAGGACGCCATGGGCTGCGGCGGCGGCGGGGGCGGTGTGTGGGGCCGCCCACGGCCCGACCACCGGCCACTGTCCGGTGACGGTGGGGTGCGAGCTCCCCGCGGCGGCGGCGGCGGAGGGGGAGACTCGCGCAGGTCCCTCAGGTCGCGTAGCTCGCGATGGTCGCGCAGCTCGCGGTGGTCGCGCAGACCACGCACCAGCGGAGAGTCGCGCATATCCCGCGAGTCCCGGCCGTCCCGGCGCCTTAGGTGCGCCCGGTCGCCGTTCGGCGAGCCGGCCAAACCGTCTGAGAGAGGGGTGCCCGGACTGGGCGGCTGCAGCATGGCCCGGCGCCGCGACGCCTTGGGCTCTTTACCGCGGAACACTGGGGCACTGGTGGCCGCCTCCTCGGGCGAGGAGAGCGGACTGGCACTGGGTAGCCGCTCATCGGCCTCTGCGTACCGATGGCGCTTCCGTTTCTTCCGGCCGCCACCACCGCCGCCCCGGTCCTTGTCTTTCTCACGCTTCTTTTTCTTCTTCTTATCCCTAGCTCGGTACCGATCGTTCGCGTCTGGTGAGTCCGGCATCGCGTGGCCGTGGTCAAACAGATCTACCGGTTGTGGGGGAGGCGGCGGCGAGGGTGAGGGTAGCAGCGGCGGCGGTGACAGCGGCGGGGGGATTATCACAGGTAGCGGCGGCGGCGGCGGCGGAGGAGCGCGGCGGCGGCGCCGGCGGCGCGGACGGCGCGGGGCCTCCGGCGAGAGTTCTCCGTCGCTGAGGTTGCGGCGCCGCGCCGAGGTGCTGTCGTCACTCTGGATCTCGCCAGCCTCGGGTCCGCTCAGCGCCTCCGACGACACGTCCGAGTACTCGACCAGAGGCTTGCCGTTCATCATCGTCTCGGCCGGCGAGCTAACCCAGCTGCCACATCGCCTCGGCCCGCTGCAACAGCCGCCACAGGCGCGGGTCAGCCGCCGGGCCGGGCAGGGTCGGTGAGTCTATAGTCAGCGGAGAGGAGTGTTTTGATTTTTAGAAAGGAACTACTACTTCATGTTTGAGATGCTCTGTGGTTCATATTTTGAACATACAAAACTCCTAATATTCAAATATGTCGACAATACTGTTTCCTGTATCCCTTTAGATGCTGGAAAAACTTTAACCCATGCCGGGCCGGGGGAGGGGGGGGGGGGGTCTGAACACCCTCACTCTCGGCTCCTAGGCTAGGCCGCGTAGCGACAGCCGGTAAGCGGCATTCGAAAGAGCGTCAAAAATCATGATGAAAATACTTCAGTCATTTTTTTCGGCCAGGTCAAAGGTCAAGTCACTAGAAGTGATCCAAGGTAGAATTTTGGTAAAATTTCAAGATTCTTGACATACCGGCGCACAACTCGGGAACCAATAGAGCTACGGAGTTGCGGAAAAGCGCATTCGATAGCTCCTTTAAGCTCTTTTGCTAACATGTCCTCGGAAGTCGGATTTGACCTAAGATCAACGATTCAGTCTCCAGAGGGAAAAAAGTTAACCGTTTTTTAGTAGTGTTTTTTGATTATAACTTTTGACTCAAGCAAGTCACGGCATTTATTTTGCCAGCGTGTTTCTCTCGTCGGGACGCATCAAATGAACTATAATTTGACCTTGAAAGGTCATTTGGAAAATTTGACCCCAGGTCAAGGTCATGACCTGACCGGAAAAGGTTATACTGCACCTGACCGCCGACCTGTCTTATCCGACGTCCGACCGCCGCCGACTTATCAGCCGACCGTATCGCGGGGAGGGGTCACGACTCACGGGTGCAATTTTCCGATTCAGTGTGTCAAGTTTGCCGATGTCCCGATGTCTGAGTGTTTTGAATGACGTTAAGAGGCGCCTTTCAATTTTCTCTCATTGACTTATAATGGAGAGGGCGCGAAAATGATCTGAGCGTCACCGATATCAAAATTCAATAATTTTTTTAAGTACTCTTACCCTTATCCATCGCTGAAAATTTCAAGGCAATCATTCAGTCGGTGTAGTTACGACGAGCATTTAATTTTTCTAGGTAAGGTCATTTGAGGTGACCTGGTGACCTGACCTTGAACGAGCTGAGTCCGATATTTTCAAAACATGTGCGGACAAGATGCATCAAATATCAACAGGTGTGCCAAAAACGGTGGCACGGTTTTGAGATATCCGTGAAAAACCGCAGGGGTGTCCGAACACACCCCAGCGCGGGTTAAAAGTGGTTAGTTTAGCCAAAATACTGAAGGTGGTATGCTGATCACATTTTTTTCGCCCATCATCTAGCACCAAAGTGTTCTACCCCAGCCCAAGCGCTTGACACCTTGATTTCAAAGCCTCCTTGCCTGGCAAAATGCCTAGTATTTTTTGTGTGTGCGTGCATGCAAGAACCCTGAACCCATATACCTCTAAGGTAATCAAACATCCATAGTTGGTAATGACATAGACCTGCAGTACAATTTTCATGCTGGCTAGTTGACGATAAAATCATCACACAACGTCTCTCGATTAGAAAGACAGCTGGCGTACAATCGATGGCGTGCTCAATTGCCCTACAAGTTTGCGCAGAAGAACCGAATCCGGAAAAAACGAGCATTATCACGGTTTGGGCCCTCAATAGTTCAAACCGTTGAGATGATGCCAATTCCGACGACATCCTGGAAAACGAAGCAGAAGAAAGCTTTCGCATAATTTTGCGATGTTTCGGCGTTTTGACATGTTCCGCCGACGTTAAAGTTCAATTAGCTCACGAGTTACGCTATGACTTCGTAAACGTCAAGATCAGGAATGTTGGGAACGGGAATTGGAAATTTTCGATAAACTCGCGTGAAGTCACGACCGGGTCGAAAAACTCTCATGACCGAATCGCTTTCCAACAGTGTGATGACTGAATCCCCATCACATGGTGGGTTAAAATAGTTAAACATGGACTGGGACCACACCCACACCTACATTGTGGCCCACAAGGAAAGCAGTCATTGGAAGGCATTTTCATGCTCATAGATACCCTGCATTCTGTGAGCATAAAATAAAAACATCAAGCAGGGTCAAGAAGGTCATAAAAATGATGACAAAAAACTATTTAACTGTCAGCTTCTCCAATTGATGTCTTGCTGGGAACACAAGGCAGACAAGTGGTGCCCACTAGACCCTGGACTTGGAGCCTGGTCTTTATGGCCAGTGTGATACTGTTAGCACACAATTGCCTGGTACCTATATCAATTGTGATGCTCAACAGGGAAACTGCTTGGGCAGCTAAGAAAGCTGCCCAAGCTGACACCACTTGGGAGCTTGGGCACCACTGAGCTTAGGTACCACTGACAGGAGCATTAAAGGGACCCTCCCACCTTAAAAAAAGTTTATGAATTGGCATGAAAGTGATGTCGCTCGGTTCAGAAAGAGCGAAAACGAATATCTACCAAATTTCACCGAAAAATATTCACCGGTTTTCAAGATATTAGACTTTTACTTTTGTTTACTTTTTGGGATCTCCGCTGTTCCTAGCGACTTTATTTAAAAGTGCGGCATTTGTTGCGCGCAACGCAGCATATACCACCGCGTGCTACAAAACGTTTTAGTCAAACATTTAACGGACGTTCAAAAGCCTGATGACGTCATCAGATTCCCGTAATGGTTAAGAGATAGGGACCACGCTGGTCCCACCCTGCAAGTAAAGGGAAGAAATTTCTTGAACACCATAAAGCTGCGGGGGTTGCGACCGGGATAAATGGTGGTTTCTGAGCCTGGCCGCAAACTTGGCTATCTCAACTCAAAACTAATGTTAAGGTGGGAGGGTCCCTTTAACAGGGCATAGTTAATGTGCCAGTTGCCACTTGATGTGTCTCCAGTGTGCTCCTCCTGAGGCTGAGATGATGATTGCACACTAGGGAAAATGCATTTGTCATTACCATTACTAGCAAGGAAAACCTAATTCAGAGACATGAGTGTCAACTGCCAATGTTTACTGAATTTAGATGACAGGGAAAGGGATACATGCCCTGTGTTTGAGGATGTTGTCTTTGTGATTACTCCTGCATGAATGATCAGGGAGGAGGCACTTAATTTTATGCACAGGAGACAGGATCCACCATTTCTACATCACCTAAAGCTGGGGCTGACAGACGTCAGCTGACTGACAAGCACATTTGAGTCAAAGTGGCAGGTCGTTTCATAATATGCAATTTGTTTACTTGTGCGATTAAATAAATCTTAAGAATTATTAAAATGCAAAGTAGTTGTAGATACAACAGTCAACAAAATGGTATTAGAGTTGATACAATAAATTAACTTCCACATCATTTTACGAGACTAAAAGATGCAACGAATATCACCAATAATTCACTAGGCTTACGAACAAGGCTCACACATAACATTATTACTGCAAGCAAGAAAAATCAGTTTAACTCACCTGAAATCCTGATATCGTTCTCCCGGTTGATAAATAGGTATATCGGACGATTGGTAAACGGTACGGAGATGGATATCTCGTCAATCTCTATCCTCGGAAAAGAACAGCTTAAATCCAGCTGCAGAGCTGATTGAATCTTTTTTGTTTTGTTAATTGCCGTCTGCTCACGCTATTTTACAAAAAATACTCCTTTTTATGACCGACAAATCATCATTTCCGCATATGTCAAAAGACCTCGGGGTAATGGACAAGCGCAATGTTTGTCGTCTTTGCGGCGTGGCTGCGACAAATTCAACCACGTTGAAGAAAAATATCAGTCGGAATCTTTTTAGGCAGTGGGATAAAATCATTGAGTAAATCCTTAATTTCACAGTAGTATATTTATCTAACTGCAGAAAAAAAGGAGATAATTTTTCACACTTTGCCTTCTTTTAAATGTGTCTTTTTCGCAGTTATATGCAATTAAAAGGAAGCGTTCTTTCCTTGGATACTCCCAATCTTCAAATACCAAAGAGCATGAAATAATTTGCTGTCTTTCGCTTTCCTTATATAAACATCCCTTCAAAATCTTCATGCTTTGTAAGTAAATTCATTATGATGTTTGAAGGCGGGCTTTAGGAGAAAATGACGTCAAATAAAAATATTAGTTCTTTCATACGATTAAAACGTTCGAGGCAAAGCATTTTTATCTTATCTATCTCCCATTAAAGTAAAACATTCAATATTTCTTGAACATTGCTCTCCGAAATGGTAATAACTTCAAACTTTTGATTTGAGTGCTTGTAAGCTGTCATCAACTGCGCGTGCGCAGTAGCCATCGAGGAGTTCGAGGTTGTAAACAATGATGGCGAGGGGATTCGTGCTGTATATGGCGTCCTAATGGGTGAAGGGGAAGGTGACATGAAAGAAATGGTTGGGGGCTGCTGTGTCTGCTCCGACGAGAGCGGTTGGGACGAAAACCCTCTGGTTTATTGCGACGGTGATGGCTGCAATGTGGCGGTGCATCAAGGTAGGAGACGAAAGTAGCGCACCACTACTTTCATTGCATGTTTGATATTTCTTTGTGTTTCTCATAAGTTAATCGATGCAGTTGACCAACTAATCGTTTTTCTTCAGTTTGAACACAGGCTCTATTTACATACATTGTGTTTTAAACATGGTGTTAAGCAATGCTGGTAGCGGAAGCGCAAATGTGATGTGCTTTCGATGGATGAAAGTCCGCAATGCTTGAAGGATGATGGCACTGCTCTTATCGAGCATGCTTGACAGACAAAAGACTGGTTTCTTAGTTAGGTGGGTTGCTACTATCCTGTCACCTGGTGACCTGTTAACCAGCTGGGAGAGTGACATGAGCTGGTGAAGTTGGTACACTGCCTAGTACCCCCACCTGCAGAATGGGCAAGCTTCCATGATCACTGGTTATAGGACTTTTGATGCTAATGCTTAAATCATCAAATAATCAACAGTGTTCATGATGACTAGATTGAGATATATAAGACCTAATTTTGATGGTGTTTTTGGAAAGTTGAAGTATTACTTATGAATAGGTTTAAATTTTAGTACCTACCTATTTTTTGCATGGTAAAATATTTTATCATTTGACTGACACTGCTCTGAAGCATGGCAACCCATATTTATGGCACATAAAATCCATAGATAGATAACCATTCACATTGTATGCCAAACTGATTACTTGCAGGAATAAAAACCTTTATTTTTCCATGTCATGTTTGCTTTATGCTTTGCTTCTTGACTAAATGCATGGTAAATGAGTGAAATCCTTATCCATTTTTTTGTGCCACAAGTGTTGTTATTATCATTATTAAAAGATATTTTGTTTATGTGCATATAAATCCTAAAAGATTTGCATGTTTTGTTAGAAATGCATGCTGAATTTTACTTCATAGGTGCAAGCTATATTCCTAGAGCTTTTTGTATCCCTTATAATAAAGTTAGCTCAAGCTCCCTCATCATTCTTAGAGGCAGAGGGCTATGTGTCTATTTTCATTACTTAGCTTTTTAAAGTTTTTTTATTAGTTATTTAAATTAGAAATCAACAACTATGATGACAAATTAAGTAGGTGATTTCTTAAGGAAATTTGATTAGAAAATGCCTACTAAAATAATTCAGCAATTAAAAACACATGTTTATGCATCTATCACACACAGTCCATATGACTACTTTGTAAGCCCTCTTCTTGGTACTATTTTATCTATTTCTTGTTTCTATTACTCATTCAAATTGTTTACCTATTGTCTGCTATGACACTCACAAAGCAGAATCTATAGATTGCTTAGGTGTCATGAGTGATGAATTTCAAACTTGGGCTACCTATGTGGGGAAAGGTTATTTTTGGAGATAGGAAGGGATAGTGCATTAGGCTATGTGTTTAAAACCTAGAAACAAAGCTCTGAAGTATAGATTAAATAAACCATTAAAACAAAAATAGAGGATTTACCATGTTTGTTTTCACACTGTTAAAGATAAAGTACCTAGTTTGATATTCAATGCAGTGCATGGTGTCATGGTTTTGGATGGAAAATGCATTAATTGTTTTGTTCCACTCATGACTGCCAACAACAGAAAATTTACACCCTAAGCTGTTGCTGACAGCTTAAATTATAATATACAGTTATACTAGTTATAATAGTTATTAGTTATAGTTAGTTAGTTATACTTGTAATAGTTCTAATAGCCAGATTAATAGACTGCTTGCTTATTGAAGTATAATGTTAGGAAGTATGCTATTACTTTTGTGTAGTGAACTTTGTAAAAAGTGTAACCCTGTTAGTATTTTAATATTATCTGACCTGGTCATAAGCTATTGTCATTTAAGGTGTTTAGTAACTGACAATTTTGTAGACCACTTACTTCAGCTATGATTCTTACCTTATAATAAGAAACTGTTTTACTTTACTTCCACAATCTCTTTACACATCACAGGTATTTTGCTCCTGCCAGGGAACATCGTCATACATTGAAGCATACCTAGGCACAGCAATGGATTTCCTGGTACCGCGGAGCCCGAAGAATAAAAGCCAATGTGTAGTTACTCTGGTTTTGGCCGTAGCTCCTCAAGCCCCGATGGATACGAGGCTCTTTGCCTTTCCGTGTTGCAAGCTCCTTAGTTATACAAATCAGCTGCTAACTATTCAAACCAGCCTAGTCCAGAATTATCGTTAAATATATGCATATATATGAAAAAAGGCGTTTAAGAATCGATCAATTTCGAAATCGTATAGCCAGAGGCCAAAATAAGCATCGTGTGACTATCAACTTTGCCTCTCCACTGGGGAGAGCGGCGAAAACAACCGCGGCGCTGGGCGGGTATCGAAAGGCTAAACTCTGGACGGGGTTAACCCTCCCGGAGAATAAGACGCCGAAACCAGAAAGAGGCCTCAATTCCAACGCTGCCTAGGCGTCTTCTTCTATCCCTGTCACATAGTTCTATTGTCAATGTTTCAACCCGCCATTGTATGTCACATCACTGCCGTGTTATCCAGATTCTTCCTACTCGCTACCCTCACGGACATACAGCGTGTTCGCCTGTCTCCACAGTCCACTGACGTGCGTTCCTTGTTGCAGCGTGTTACGGAATCGTGTCGGTGCCACCTGGACCGTGGTTCTGCCGCAAGTGCGAGTCCCAGGAGCGGGCGGCGCGTGTGGTGAGTGACGGCCGGCGCGGCCGAGCGGGGCGGTCCCCTGGCCGGGCAACCTCCGCGTGGTAGGGTTTCTCCTGGCAATTTTTCGTTTCTACCCGTCGAAGTTCGCCGCATTGTCGACACGAGTGCGACTCCGGCGCATTATTATTTCAGTAACCTCTGTTCGGTCAGATATCCAACCTTTGAATGAAATTAATATTGTGTGCTGTTTTCTTAGGCAAATAAATCAGCTGGACCACCTGGTTCCTTTGATATTTGAGGGATCCTACTGACCTAATCCTTCTTCTTTTAGTGGTTTTTGTCCCAGCTAATCTGCCCTCATTTTTCCTGACATCTGAATGACCTCATTGATAACACTTTATCTCAAGTTTGAGTGATTCCACAGACCCCACTTTCTCAGACGCGTGACCCGACGACTGACCTGACCTCCCTCCGTCAGCGCTGCGAGCTGTGCCCGAGCAAGGGCGGCGCGCTGAAACGGACCGACACCAGCGGCTGGGCGCACGTGGTGTGTGCGCTGTACATCCCCGAGGTGCGGTTCGGAGACGTGGCCACCATGGAGCCCATCCTGGTCTCCATCGTGCCGCCCGACAGATTCAGCAAGGTGAGAGGGAGCGGCGAATGTGGGGAGTGGTTAATGTGGTGGAGTCTGGGGGGAGACTGAGCTGACGATTTCAGCGTTCATCTCTTTCTTATTCTAGCGACAGAAACTTTGTTTTTTTAATTACCTTATGTGCTTTTTGCTTGCGATTGTAGTTTACCACCTCGATTAATTAGCTGTCAATTGCTGCTGCTTTCGATTTGTTGGATGTCACATCCCAAATACAAGCATTTTTCATATGTTAGCAGATTGGTTGATCTGCTGCTCCAAGCGTAACTGGGCACTAAAACACTACACTACATTGTTCCTTACATACACCATCCAATCTGCCTGTCATTTATCGTCTGTATGTGTATGTTGTGTCTGACCAGTGTGTGATCCGTCCCCTCTCTCCCACAGTCGTGCTATCTGTGCGAGCTGAACGGACGGGCGAGCAAGGCGCAGATGGGAGCCTGTATGAGCTGTAACAAACCCGGCTGCAGGATGAACTTCCACGTGACGTGTGCTCAGGGGCACGGCCTGCTCTGTGAAGAACAGGTGCAGAGCATGAACAACGTCACGTACTGCGGCTACTGCCAACACCACTACGCCAAGCTGGTGAGTCTGTGGAGTATTTAGGCCTTAGGGAGCGATGTTGTGTGGGAATCGCTTCAGAAATGCTGTTAGTTTCTATTCCATTTGTCGTTGTGGTTAACCTATATTTTAATTACACGTCACGTTTTCTTTCTGCAAGTCTGAAACGACTGCGTCTCCGCGTCCACAGAAGCGCGGTCACAACGTGAAGCCGATCCCTGCCTTCAAGTCGAGCCACGACGTGACCTCCTCAGAGCCATCTTCGGGCAAGTCTGCTCCGCTGCCACTGCCGCCCTCTGCCGACCCGGCGCGCACCGAACGACGTAAGCGACCCAAGGCGTCCCGCTCGCCACGGGCGTCGGCCACCGCGCTGCCCGCGCCGCCGTCCGCGCTCAACGAGAGCTCCTGCTCGAGTCTGGCCAGTGACGCTCCGGCGGCCGACGAGCGGCGAGAGAGGAGCGAGAGGACAGAGCGCAACGAGAGGGGCGACCGGTCAGAGCGTTCGGAGAAGGCAGAGAAGAAGGAGGAGCGCATCGAGAGGACAGAGCGGACGGAGAAGGCGGAACGGGGCGAGAGGACGGAGCGTTCTGAGAAGGCAGAGCGAACCGATCGGTCAGAACGTTCGGATAAGGTGGAACGAACTGACAGAACGGAGAGATCCGAGAAGACTGAGCGATCCGACAGATCGGAAAGAACCGAGAAAACGGATCGTGGAGATAGAATAGAAAGACAAGACCGGGCGGAACGACAGGAGCGGCAGGAGAGGCATGAGCGGCAGGACCGACAGGAACGGCAGGAGCGGCAGGACCGACCAGAGAGGCAGGAGCGGCAGGACCGATTAGAGAGGCAGGAGCGGCAGGACCGACCAGAGAGGCAGGAACGACAGGACCGGGTAGAGCGACAGGAACGGCATGAGCGGCAAGACAGGTCAGAAAGGCAAGACCGGCAAGACAGACCAGACAGGCCAGAGAGGCAGGACCGGCAGGACCGCCCAGACCGGTCTGAGAGGCCAGACCGGGAGCGGACGGAGCGCCCTCCTCCGGCCGCGGTGCCGGCAGAGACGAGCGACCGGACACCTCCCGAGTCCTCCGCCGACACCAAGTTCACCACGGCCAACTTCACCGAGACGGTGGTGACGCCGAGTGGATCGGTGTTCGGCGCGCCTCCGGCCCGGTCCTCCGCCGGCGGAGAGCCGGCCGGCGCCGCCAGCGGAGCGGGCACCGAGAGCGAGTCGACACTGTCCACCGCCTCCGACCTCGACTTCAAGGTAACGTACTGACGACGGGCATAGGGAGGGCTATATGGGACTAGTCATTGTGGCTTCCTGAGGCTCTGATTTGCGTGTGTTTGATCGATATTTTGATTGTAGTTGTTTCTGGCGACAATGTCCAAACAAATATGCTGCTCATTTTCTTATGTAGTCGATGTTTCCCAACGTTTGATCTGTGTGTCTACAACCAACTCTGCACTCTGCTTGGTTACCAGCTTCTGACCGTTCCTGGCCCCGTCTCGTCCGCAGGAGGCGGCCCTGGTGATCAAACAGGAGCCGCGCGACTCTGAGCCAGTACCGACCGTCAGCCAGTCCGTGCCGTCCCCGGCCCCGGCCCCGGCCCCGGCCCCGGCCCCGGCCCCGGCGCCCATGCCCTCTCCGGCGGTCCCGCCGCCGGCTCCTACCCCTCCGACGGCTCAGCCGCCCCCGCCGCTGTCCGCACCCGCGCTGCCGCCGCCGCCGCAGCCGCCCAGCGTCATACAGACGGCCCCGGCGCCACCCGTCAGCCTCTCAGCGCCGCCGGCTCAGCACTATCAGCAGCAGCACCAGCAGCTGACGCAGCAGCAGCAGCTCACTCAGCAGCAGCAGCTGGCCCAGCCGGTGACAGTGTCCCTGCCGGTGGTCTCACTCAATCAGGTCAGTACGCGTTACGATGTTCTAGGACGCATTAGCGGAGTTTCAGTGCCGGTATACACTGATTTTTTTTTCGTTTCTGTTCAATCATTCATATTTGATTTAATGGAATAATGTTTGGGTTTTGCTTGCCTTACTGAAGCTTTGCCATTGACGATCATATAACAGACGCCATTGCGTTCCCAAATTTTTGCATGCTTCTACCCTTCAGCGGACGAAATAGCCAACACTTCCTAATCCCATTGAGCCTGTCATTTTTTCCCAACTGTGCCTTCCTCCGTCCGCATTCAAACCTGAATTCCTCACGGCTGACCCTTCTCCCCTTCCCGCCACAGATGAGTCCCCAGCAGATGGCGAAGACCAAGCGCGCGCTCTCCACCGCCGCTGCCGACAAGGAGCCTCGCAAACGGAAACCGCCGGGCCGGCCGCGCAAGCACGCTCCACCGCCGGCGCCGCTGTCCCCGGGCTCAGCGGCGCCTCCGCCGGAGCGCGAGGCAGCCACCCCGGACTCGGTGGGCGCGCGGGAGGCGGCGTTGGGCCGCGCAGAGGTGTCCCCGGGCGCGGCGCCGCCGCCGCCGCTGCCGCCGCCGCCCCCGCCGGCGCGCGGCCGGTCCAGCGGGGAGCTCAGCGCGCCGGTGTCCGTCAACGGAAGGAGGTGAGTCTGAGACACGGTGGTGGGTTGTCGTGTGTCTGGGTTGTGTGAGATGTTCGTAAGCTGTGAGATGTTGGAAACGTAAAAGCGTTTGTTCATGGCAAGCTTGTGATGACAGCTAGGTTGCCAAAGACATTCTTGTTTGTAAATTGGGGATTTAGAGCGCACCGACTACCAAGGACAACATTCTGGCCATAGTGGAGTTCTTTCGTGTGTGACTCATGCTGCTTTGTAGTCGCGTTCTATTAACAACCATGTGAGTGATTGTGCACCTAAGAGCGCCAAGGTTTTTTCCTTATACGGTCCCGTATCACTGCTCGCTTAACCCTTTTCTTTTCCCCTGCAGAAACAGCGGCGGCGGCGGGCTGCCGGCTCGTACCAACGGTCTGCCGGCCGCCGCTCACATGCTCGGTAACCAGCTGAACCCGGCCTCGCTGATGGCGCCCAAGCTGTCTGACTCGCTGGCGGCCGAGCTGGCCGAGCAGGCCGGCTACCTGGAGCCGCCCGGCCGGCTGGTGGGACCGCCGCTGCCCGGCCGGCCGGCGGCCGCCAGCGCCGGGGCGGCACCGCTCCCCAGCAGACCGGTGGGTAACGCTGACACAGCTGGCGTGGGATGAATAATCGTGGCTTACAGCTGATGTTATTGTAAGAAAAATCTTGCTACGTTCTTTACGTCACAGCTTCAGATACCTTATTTCCATGTCGCGCACAATTGTCAGTGTGATATTAAGTGAAGTAGCGCTGCTGTGCTCCTCATCACCTCTCGGTCGCCCTCCCCACCGACACTCGGCCGCGTGTGTCCGGCGCCGACAGGGTGCGCCGCCGTTCCCTCAGTCGCTGAGTGAGCTGCTGGAGCGCCAGTGGGAGCAGGGCAGCCACTTCCTCATGGAGCAGTCGCAGCACTTTGACGTGGCCGCTCTGCTCAGCTGCCTGTACCAGCTGCGGCAGGAGAACGAACAGGTGAGGTCGAAACTTCGGTATCAGGGAAACGAAGAGAAGAAGTTGATCACTTCAATATTAGGGGAACGAACAGGCGGAGACACTTGAATGAACAGGAGGGTAATGCGGAGACAGAAGCAGATGAACAAGGGAGTCAGGAGACAGGAGAATGAACCAATGGGTCGTGTGGAGGCATGATTATGAACCGAGTTTTATATGCTTGAACATGATAGCCTTCTTGCTTTCATATCATCTGAGTCTAGTCCTTGAATAACATTGTTTTCAGTATCCGGTATGATACGTCATTGGTAATTGGTACTAAGAACTAGGACATAATAACTTCGTCGGCCACTTCCAGCACAGCCATCCACGACTGCATCTGCTCTGCCCGTTACTGACCGCCCGCGTCCGTGCCCGTCCCTCCCTCAGCTGGAGGAGCACATGAGCGAGCTGTCGCAGCGTCGCGACCACCTACTGGCGGTCAACGCGCGTCTCTCCCAGCCGCTGGAGTCGGCGCCGCCGCTACCGACGGCCGCCCGACCTCCCTCCTCCGTGGCTGCCGCCGCCGTCGCGCGGGCTCACTACGGTTCAGGTGAGATGGTGTGACGCGACAGGGCTGGGGACTCAGCAGAGCGGTTATAGTTGGCTCACGAGACGATCATGTCGCCGGCCTTTAGTGCTGGTCTGTTTTGCAACGGTTTCAGTGATTTGATTCTGGTTCTAAAATAAGAAATGCTTGCTTATTATTATAATCGTTAGTGAGATGAAGCGTACGCTACCGTCTACTCGTATAGATGTGTTCTTCTGCTCCGATTTCTCTTTTCGATGTGTTAGCTCGACCTTACCTTATCTAACTGCGCCTACCCCGCCGGCAGTCGGTCCGCTGGGCCACCACTCTGGCTCGCCGCGGCCGCCGCTGGAGAACGGTGTCGGTGACGGCGGCGGCCGGCCGGCGCCGCCGTCCCCGCTCCAGCTGCACTCGCCGCTGGGCGGCGGCGGCCGGCCGCCCGTGGGTCGTCAGCCGCCGCCGGCCAGTCCGCTCGGCTCCAGCCGCCGCTCGCCCACCGTCCGCTCCGCGTGAGTGAGGGGAGACGCCGCCGTGAGGGAGAAGTCTCTCCGGGCGGGAGGCAGGGAGGGTGGGGGATGAATGCTGAGGGGTGGTTGTTGATTGTGTTTTTTTTTTTTTGCAAACTAAGGTAATATTTTAGGGGTCTTTCCTTTTCGGCAACTGCAGTGAAGTTTATCTGATTTCCTTTGGAAACTTGTCTCTTTTGATCGTGGACAAAAATGGCACTGCCAGCAAGACCATTCTAAATTCTTCCATGCATGACATTTGTGTGACACTCCGCTACTTTTAATGACGTGCAAGCTACAGCGTCGCAGCACAAATCTTTGTCTGGCTGTCGTTAATGATCCCCAAATTCTCACGATCGTAGCTCCACCATTCCCGACTCCACTGTGCCCATCAGATCCACCTAACCCGTTTTCTCCCCCTGGCAGTGTGTCGGCGCCCTACCCTCTGCCTGGCGCCTGCTCGGCCTCGGCCAGCTCTGCCTCGCTCCAGGGCCTGTCGGGCCTCTCCGGACCGCTGCAGGTGAACACAGCTCTGGCCGGCCGGCCGCCGCTGGCTCACCAGACGGCGGCGGCGGCGGCGGCGGCGGCCGACCGCGACCACCGGCTCATGGAGGTAAGGGGACGGGCGATGGAGGTCAGGGTTAGGGTGCTGGGACGTTAGGGTGACTGCGCGGTGTCGACAGTGAATGAGGTGCGAGGAGGATAAGGTTCGCAGTTGCAAATGTAGTTTCACTGGTAGGACTTGCTGGAAGCTGCGGGTTCGTTGTAAGGAACTTTGAAGGTTCGGTACTTCGGTACGCTTCTCTTTCTACGAACACTTTTCCACCGCCGAAACTCGCTTGCGATCCTAGCGTCATCAGGGTGCTGTTTGGAGCATTCACGGTCGATTGTCCCTCGCTCCGTTCACTCTGACCGTGTGTGTTTGTGTTCCGACAGTCGCTGCGCGTATCGGCTGCCACCGGCGGCGGCGGCTACCCGCAGTACCAGCTGGTGTCCCCGCCAGGCGCCGGGCCGGCCGGGCCGCCGCTCCACCACGTGGTGCACATGCCACCGCCGGCCGGACGCGCGCCACGCGGCGCCAGCGCCGACAAGAGATGACACAAGGCGGCGCCCAAGTTTCGATGGTTCTACGAGTAGGCAGCGCCGCGGGCGGTAGGCGCGACGGCTGAAGTTCCGGCCGCCGCCGTCGGGCGGCGCTGCTGTCGGATGTCCGGCCACTCTCGGCTGGTATGTACAAATAATCGACGGCGGCGTTTTTGTCTTTGTGTCTGGCGGCGTCCTTTATACGCCATGCTGCCTGTGTGTAACAGCGGTGCGTTTCGTGACTGGTGCGGCCGATTCTTGCCTCTGTATGCCAGTTGGTACGCGAGTGTGTGCGCGCGACTTCCGTGTATGTGTGCGTCGGCGCTGTCCGGTGTGAGGCTGAGTGTCCAATCAGTACAAATATTTTGTGATGGCCGCCGGACGGCCGTCCTTTTGGCCAGATCTACTCAGTTTTGGGCCGCTGCCGCGGCCCGGTCATACCACCGCCGGCCGACCAATCAGCTCCGCCGACCGCCGGCCGGCCACCAATGGGCGTCGGCGTGACCCGGCGGTGCGCCAATCAGCGGCGGCGGCGGGCGGCAGTCCTCCAATCATGTCAGCGGGGTGCCGTCTGGCTCACACAGAGGCTCGGAGAGTGACCCGGGGGCCAGTGCGCGGCCAGCTCGGCTCATAAGATGGCGTGGATAGAATGGGACGGCGCGAGACAATGTTCAAATCATGGACGCTGCCGAGCGTCAATTGTGGTCGATCTCTCATCAGCTTGCGCGCGCGTTTTGTTGCGGGCCCGCACCGGAGGGCCGGCCGCCGAGTGCGGGCGGACGGACGGACGGGCGGGCCGCGCTCTGGGCCGAATTTACACGTGATCTTCCTGTGTTGCTTCCAATGATCGGCGGCACGGGCCGGCCAGGCGGGCCACCTTTGATACCCTCGCTCTTTGTTTTAATAAATAGCCCTTGCGGTGTGTGTTACGCCAGCGCTACGTTTTGCACTGGGGGCATCTCTCGACTTGGGATGCACGGCGAATGGCTGTGATTGCTAGCGGAGGATGGTGAGACTCAAAGGGTGAGACATATTTTGAGATACGAATGATAATCATCATGCAAGTGGTGGTGTGATGTCGACAGAACCCTTGGATGGTACCGACTTATGAGCTAATTATTAGACTACACCAATGCTACCTGAAATAATCGCGGAATTGATCGAACGACAGCGTTTGCCCCATTGTTAATGAAACTGCAGACTCCAAATCCCACGTAATGGCGGTCTTCTTCTTCTTCTTTGTGGGTTAGGGCGCGCAGCCGTCAGGCCCTAGCGTCCAACTTCTTCGTTTCTTGCATTCAACTGTCCGATCTTCCACGATGTAGTGTCGGGGTTGGTAGGTACTAAGCGGTAACTAAGCAGGGTTGTGGGTAGCCGGAAAAGGAAAAAACCTAGGGAAGGACAAATGCCAGGGGAGGAAATTGCCGGGGAAGGATTAAGCCAGAAGGAACAGACCTGAGTAGCAGTGTTAGTGTTAGTTTAATTGGGCAGCAATCTACAAAATGATGAAAGAAAGATCAATACTCTTCTAGCCAGAGTGTTACCAGGTAATCAGAGAAAGAGAGAGCGAGCGAGAGAAATTCAGACCACTCTACAAGCTAGCTATATATACTACCAAATACTAAAATAAAGGAGAGAAGAGAAAACACGAACCACAGAGGACATGTGCTCAGAGTGCACTTTTGTTTCACTTGGACCTCCCGTAACGTTCACATTATACTTCCACAGAGACGAATCAGTAATCAAAACACACCGAAAGAAAGTTTCCAAAGCCTAGAATCACCACACAAAAACAGGCAAAAGCAACATCATCAGTGGGGGCGGCAAATAAGTAGCCGCCAATCAAACATTACACAGTTGTTAGAAATACTGTCAATTCCGGTATATCAATAGAACCCGCCGCATTTACAGTTTGTCAAGCAGCTCACAATCGCGCAAGAAAAGAAACACTGCGTCCAATACATTTGGTTCTGTATCACCGAGCAGAGTCGCCATTGTGAACGGGAGACCAGCATCTCCACATGTTCGTCGCAAACGTTGGCGTGTCGTGCGATATTGAGGGCAATCAATTAGGAGATGTTTGACATCGATAATGCATCGACAAAGTGTACACAACGGTGGTGGGGCACGATCCATGACATGCGAGTGCGTAAGGAGTGTATGGCCAAGTCTCAGGCGACACAGCACTACTTCTTCTTGGCGACTGTCACGAGCGCCAGACGTCCACCTTCCTATGGTAGGCTTAATCGTCTTAAGGTGAGTGGGCCGAAACTCTTGCCATAAGGTAGCAAATTGGTCTCGAACGCGCCGTCGGACCTCTGGGACATATTCACGATAACCAACTGCGACCGGTGTAACCTCTGGTTTGTCATGTGCTTTCCCGGCCCAATAGTCAGCTCGCACATTTCCAGCTATGCCGCTATGTCCCGGTACCCATATGAGAATGCACCTCATTCCATCCTCGGCAATGCGATGGTTTAATTCTAATATAGAGGTAAGTAGCGGGTGCCTCGTGGTGCCGTGCGCCATGCCTAACGCTTTCACAGCCGATTGAGAATCGGTGCATATCAAGGAACGTGGAATGCGATGGGTGCAGACAAACTTCAGGGCTTCTAGTATAGCTACTAGCTCGCCTGTATAAATAGAAAGACCTTCCGGTAACTTAAACGAAAAGAAAGCATTGTTAATGGTGAATGCACAAGCCACCGACTCATGCCGCTTGGATCCATCTGTATACAGTATCCGATATCCAGGGTACTCGCTGATAAGAGTCTGAAACTCGGCCTGCACGTCTATCGTGGAGCGGCTCGCTTTATCCTGGTTAGTTAGCAGGCTCGTCGTGACACACGGCAGAATCCACGGTGCCAAAGGCGCTGAGGGTTTGACAAGGCCTGTCGGTGGTTCATAATCGAAGTCGGCAATCATGCGCTGGAGGCGTAAGCACACCGTGAATCCAGAAATTCTGCGAAGATATTGGTCTGATAATCCTCGGTAGAGCTCCTCGGAGGCGGTCAAGTCTGTTATACTGTGACAAGGGTGGTGTTCATCACTCAAAACCTTCAGAAAATACCGAAGGAGTAACTCTTTGCGACGGAGAGATAACGGGGGAATATCGGCATCAACCTGCAATGCTCGAACAGGAGAGGTGCGTAAGGCCCCCGTTGCAACTCTCAAACATGCATTCTGAAGAGTCTCGAGAGATTCGACTCGTCGCGTGTGTGGACCATCGATAATGTATGAAGCGTATTCCAAGATTGGTCGAATCATTGCTTTATACATTCGGGTCAATATGATTCGGTCTGCCCCATAGCTCTTTGCAGCGACGCATTTAAGCACGGCCATCCTCTTTTGGACCCGGCTTTTAATATACTCTACATGGGAATGTAAGTTCATTCGGGAGTCGAGAATAACTCCAAGGTATTTCACCTCATCAACAATGGGAATGGGGTCATTATTAATGCACAAAGGAGGGAACACTGATAGGTCGACCCTTCGTAATCCACGTCGGAAAAGGATCGCATTAGACTTGGTACTAGAAAATGTAAACCCAGTGCCTGAAGCCCACTCACCAATATTGTTAAGGGCATCTTGCAATTTCCGAAATAGCTTCGGGATTCGTCGCCCTTGCACCCATATGGTGACATCGTCAGCATAAATTGCGTACGAAACTCCTGGGGGTAGCACGTCGGCGATGGAATCGATGGCAAGGTTGAATAAGATAGGTGAAATCACGCCCCCCTGCACGATGCCATAATTCTGCATAAATGTATCAGATAATGTGCCGCAACGGACCTGAAAGGTGCGATCTTTCAAGAAATTCTGAATAAAATGCATGATGTGACCTCGGAAACCCGCAGCATACATGCGATGGAGTAATACCGTAGGGGAGACCAAGTTATATGCCGATTTTATATCGAGGAACACAGCCAAAGTGCTGGCATGGTGAAGAAAACCGTCACGTACATGTGTGTCCAGACGGACAAGATGGTCAGCCGTGGATTTATCAGGCCTAAACGCACATTGATATTTGGTGAGTAGCCCGTGCTCTTCCACACACCACGTTAGACGCTTCCCAATCATGCGTTCCATTAACTTGCACATGCACGACGTAAGTTGTATAGGTCGGTAAGATGAAACCTGGTTGACATCCCTTCCTGGCTTCGGAATGGGAATCAGGTAAGAATGGCGCCATTCTGAGGGGAAAACATCGTTTGTCCAAATATAATTATACAGCTTCAGAAGATGCCGAAGCTGAGGGTCAGTCATATGGCGAAAGAAATCATAATGTATTTGATCTGGTCCTACCGAGGTTGAACCTGATCGATGAATAGCCTCTGTTAACTCCCTGAGTGAAAACTCTCTATTGTAAACTTCCTGGTTGTCCGAGCAAAAACTTGGCATTGACCTTGCCATGTCTCGTTCTCTGAGCAGGAAGTCCCTGGAGTAGTTAGCTGGCGAGCTAAGTTCCTCAAAGAACTGCCCGAAGGTGTTAACCACTTCTGTGGGGTCATCAATAACTCTGTCATGTTGGACAAGGACTGGTAAGCGTCTAGTTAGCCTGGTTTTGTGAGAGAACTTCCTCAAGATATCCCATAGTTTACTCATCGGAGTACGATGGTTAAACAGTGATACCAGTTCTCTCCACGATGACATTTGTGCCTGCCGAAGGATCCGTCTAGTTTGCGCTTTCACCTTACGGTACTCCAATCGGAGAAATACAGAATGAACGTCTCGACGCATTCGGTTATGTGCCCTACGTCGGTTCCTTATCGCCTCCCTGCAGGCGTCTGTCCACCAGGGGCACTGATATTTGGAATTCCCTTTCCGGATGGGTACGTACGTCATCGCGGTGTCAATGATAGTCTGTGTGATATTCGCACAGTTTTGGAGACCCAAACTGTCAGCAAATTGTAGATCGCAGCTCATCTGAAACATCGTCCAATCAGCCTTCCTCACATTCCACCCGGTGAATATGGGTGGTAAACTAGGGGAGGGGTAAGACTGGCAATGACGAATATGTATCGGGAAATGATCACTGCCGTGCAAGTCCTTGTCTGTTGTCCAGTCAAACAGGTGAGCAATTTCACTGGAAACCAAGGTCAGGTCAATATGGGACTCTGCACCAGTGGCTTCATCCAGTCGAGTCGGCTGGCCGTCATTGAGAATGCGAAGATCATGGTGATTCACAACATCCATCCAAATTATACCTCGAGGGTCACAGCGATCTGAGCCCCACAAGTAGTGCTTACTATTCGCATCGGTGCAAATAAGATATGGGGTAGGGAGCTGAGAGAGCAGGTGTGCTAAATCCTGGAATGAGAATGGGTCATTGGGTGGCAAATACAAGGAACACATGGTTATGCTCCGATCGTTCACCCGAATCGTGCAAGCTACCGCTTGTAACGTGGATTGTATATGAAGCCTATGGTGAGGCAGCCTGTCAGACACATATATAGTGACACCGCCCCGCCTGTCACCTTGTGGAGCAAAGTCACTGTATTCTGTACAGTAGGGGATGTGGAAAGAATATTTATCGTTTTGGATGAAATGGGTCTCCTGGACACATATCACCTCATATGGATCACATGTAAACATATGTTTAGCCTCAGCCCATTTGCCAATCAGGCCACGGGCATTCCATTGTAGTATGTTTAACACCATAAATGCTCACTAGTTACACCAAGATCACGGGCCCTGCCACAGCAGGCCCCTGTCACCAAAAAAGAAAAGGAAAAGAAAGAGAAAGAGAAGAAAAGAAGAAAAAAAAGTTGCCTTCTGTAAATTCCTGCCTCTCTACCTCTCTCTCCTTTCTCTCTCCCTCTGAACTAGGTAGGGGCGGGGGGCTTCCTGGTGAGGCTCGGCATACGCCGGCCCCTTCCTGCACTGCCTCCCTGTCGCCTGAGTCCTATTGGAGGGGATGGGGAGACACTCTCGTCGGAGAGTCCTCCTAGCCCTCCAGGAGATGAAGATTCCCTGTGTCTATCCTTGGAGCACTCAGGAGTTAGCTTTGCCTCAGAACACTGGGGTTCCTGTGGGTTCCAACTCTGCCTGGCACTCTGCTGTGAGGTTGTGTCCCAATCATCGGTCAATGGTTCAGTCAGGGGTTCCGGGTCCGGCACTGCAGAGGGTGGGGAACCCGTCATTGAGAACAGGGATTCCTGGGAACCACCTGTTACAGCCTGCGAGTCCATTGTGTCAGGATTGTTCTGAGGGACATCCTGGGCTGTATCCGAGTGGGACATGGTGGAGATGGTTAGAGCCTGAGAGTCCATCATCTCGGAGGGCCTTTGTTGTTCACTGTCTTGGTCAATATTGGGTTGCACCGAAGGCCGGGGGGCTGTAGCTGCTGGAGTAGGGGGTTGTCCAGAGACCGGGGTTCCCTGCCCTCTTTGGTTTTCCTCTCGTGCACTGACATCACTCCTCCCTGGTCCTGTCTGGAGCTGTAAGAACCTGTCAAAGAGGGTGATCATTTTGTCCAGTTTCTGTTCGATAGTGCTCACTTGTGCTTTGAGGGATGGATCCGACGGAGTATCACTGACACTGTTGCCCCGCACCACTGTGGTGAAGGGCCTAATGTTTGGGGTTTGATTTTCCTTGTCATACAATCGACGCGCATGGGCGTAGGAGACATCCCTGGTGACTTTGATTTCACAAATAGCTTTCTCTTTTTTCCACTTGGGGCATTGCCGGGAAAGACAGTCATGTGTGCCATCGCCACAGTGGATGCATGTTTGGGAACATGTGCCCTCGTGCTTCTGCTCACCACACTTAAGGCACACTGCCTCAACCTGACACCTTGCCTGCATATGGCCGTACTTCCCACATTGCAGGCATATAAGTGGGTTGGGAATGTGTTGGCGAACCTGGTATACCACATAGTCAAATTCGAGTCTGGAAGGACATGTGGGCCTGTCAAATGTCAGTAGAATGATGGGGGTTTTCTCCGTGTGATTGCCCACTCTCCGAGTGAATCGACGGGCGGCAACCACCCCGAAGCTGGACAACCAACCAACGATTTCATCCTCAGGAAGGCCCATGAGATCAGGGGCACTGATTGTCCCCCGGCTCTGGTTTAGCTTTTCATCCTTCTCGATCACACACGCCTCATCTCCGAACTTACACACTTTCAATAGTTTCTCGGTTTGGGCACTGTCTTTGGTTTTAAGTAGTAATCTACCATCATTCAAAAAGTTTGCTTTGTCCACTTTGTCTTTGGATCCTAGAATCCCACGGACACACATCTGAATCCATGGCCACCCTCTTTCCTTCAGAGGCTGCCCGGACTGCAGCTTAACGGAAAGATAGCTGCCAGAATCATCATCCTCACTCCAGAAATTAACAACCGTGTCGTCCTCTCGCACTCTCTTACTGGCCCTACTTGGCCCCATCCTCCTGATCTATCCCATCGGTGACAGAGATCAAGAGAAACCTAACCAAGTCTTTTGCCGTGCAAAAAGACTCCAGGAACGACTCACCCCGATCCTCGGCTCAGAGCCAGAGCCCAAAAACAAAGAAAAAGAAACAAACCAAACCAACTCCTGAAACTAGGCTCACGGATTCGAATCTTCTCGAACGTCCAAGTTCGCCAGATACGCCTTCACCCTGCCACGTGTCTCGCAAGAATGCGACGTAATGGCGGTCGCTAACCAAGCATTCAAGCCATCCCGGAAACAGCCAACAGCTGGAGAGCGTAGGTGGCTGACGTGACAATGATACTATAGCATATTCGTCTGCTTGCGTCTAGCGAGTAGCGCTAAATCCTAATGTTCCGGTGTAGCGACGAGTGTTTGGAGAACCCAAGCAGCGGTCTGGTTTATAAGATGCGAGAGGTCTCGCTGAGCTCTACATTTGCTTGGGTGGGACTACTCATCAATATGCCTAATGTCGTCATGCCTCCATCAAACTCACACGGAACTCATCAAACGACTGATCAAGCCTCAGTAAGCAGTAGCCCATATGAATTATGAATCTTATTACGATGCACGGCATCTGATTATCACATCAAGGAAATGCGGGGATACCTTCCCAGCTAACAATTTGCCGTTGTTACAACGTCGTTTAAACGTTGTCAAATGGTTACCGCAACGTCCCGATTTATCGTTGTGACAACGTAATTTTGTAGACTCCAGACAACGGCGTGACAACGTCATCCGACCATGCATTTGAATGTCATCACAACGTTTCTGTAACGTGGCCGTGACGTCCCAAAACTGTTCTTACAACGTCCCACCAACGTTATGAAATGTTTTCTGTAACGTACCAACAGTGTTTCTGGAACGTTGTCACCACGTTTCCGCAACGTGACTACAAGGAGTATAAAACGCTTTGGCAACGTCTCTGCGACGTTTTTATCACGTGCGCACCACGTTGTCGCTACTTCGCATTGCCGTCCCTGCGACCCTGAGTAAACGTCCTAAACATTTTCGCAACGCCCTCTCAACGTGTTCGCAACATACTCAGAATGTGTTTCCGACGCTCTCTTCCCGTTCTCTAGACTTGTAAAAAAGGCATGTAAGAAGTGTATATTTCAATACATCATACAGGTCAATTTACAAAAACAAAAAAAACGACGGCGGCGGCATCGGTGATGGGGCATGGGGCCCAGGGGCGCCCCCATGGGGGCGTGGGACGGAATTGGGTTCTACCGGCTCTGGCGCTAGCCGCTAGCACGCCAGAACTGGTGGAAGTTCACTTCTTCACTAACCCTCGCTGGGAGGATCACTCGGCGGACCGTTAGGCACCGGCTCATTTGCGGCCTCGATGTCCCTAGGCAGCTGGCAGTGCCTGACTAGACGGTCTGCGCACCCCCCGTTCCGGTCGCAGCTTCCGGACAGCCACTTCGCTACCGCATTGCCGACAGTAGGCCTGCCACAAGGCGCGCTGACGAGTTGCAGGACGTCTGCGGGAAGACATGAGGGAAAATCAGACATTCAATTCATGAAAAAATCACAAAAATACCTGCACCACTTTCCGTAACAGTGCGACAGGCTAGGTCAAACATGTCAACACCTTAGAGGCTAGAGCTACAATGAACTATAGCCTAGACCGCACGATATTACAAGGCGCAATCTTGCAAATGCTACTCGTAAATGGTACTTTGACTTACCAGTCAAAGCAACAATCGCATCAAACGCAGACAACTGGCGCTATCTTTCATCTTCCAGCTATCTCAGCCGCGCCCGCCGCCGGCCCTCACTGCTCGCTCGCGCCGCGTAGACTGCGGCTCGGCCGGCTGGCTCTGAACGCCGGCCGGTGACACTGACGTCACGGCCCCTCAGGCGAGGTCAGGGCGCGAGCCACCGTTCGCCTGAGTGGCGGCCCGCGTGGCTTGCTGGCAGCCGCGGATAACAGCCGCGTTTACATAGGGATAGTTGCAAGCCTCTAGCTCCGCCTGTGATGTTGCAAAACATGCCAATGACGCTTTGCAATTTAGGTACACATGTTATATATATATATATATATATATATATATATATATATATATATATATATATATATATATATATATATATATATATATATATATATATATATATATATATATATATATATATATATATATATATGGTCGACTACAGAATGATGTTCCACTTTTCACAGGCGATTATTTGCCTGGGGTGGTAGGCTGTGCCGCATCACACGGCTGAGTTCACAAATTATAGCTTTGCCCCAATGCTCACAATCGACACGCCTAATTACGTGATAAACGGCACAACTTAGCGCTCCGGTCAACTGATAGCTTCTGAGGAGTGGAACATCATTCTGTAGTCGACTATACATATATATATATATATATATATATATATATATATATATATATATATTAAAGAGAGATAGAGAGAGAAAGGTATCAGAATTTACTTGTAAAAACACCGCTAATTATTCAGTACCTATAATGTCAAGGTTGTGAAAAACCGTTTTAACAACGTGTTGGCGACCACCAGCTGACAACGTGAACAGTCCAAGTGTTAAAATGTGTCAAATTTAACGATGAAAACTGAATATGCGCATTGAAAGTCAAAGGAAATGCATTATATGGCCATATATGTCACCATGCATTATCAAAATATGATGCTGCAAGTGCGCGGTTGCTGCAACGTACCAATAAAACGTTGTCACGACGTTTTACCACGACTTTCGGACCAAACCATGGCTTCACAACGTTCAGAACGTTGCTACAACGTAATTAAAACGTAATTTCGCAACTTACCGAAACACGACGTTGTGACAACGTTGTAGTAACGTTTCCTGTTAGCTGGGTTGAGCCGATTTGCAGTGACTGTGCTCATGTCTGCCACCTCCGCTACCATGTACGACTGGTGGCGAGCGCCAGACTTGTGCTGCTCCTCCTGGATTAGTATTAGTTTTCTGCGCTGCTCATAGATGGCATCACTATCAAACGCCTGCGGATAGGCTGTACCGCAATACCTGAAATGGTGAATCCCAGCGCCGAGCGTCGGGGAGTCGAAACAAAGTGCAATTTTTATAGATATTTTGTCGGAATGGATGAGAGGGTGTCCGACCTTGCCCGCAATTGCGTTTCACCAAACGTTAGATATAAGAACACGGGTCAAATGGCGCAGAGCTCTGCGGCCGAAAACTCACTGCGTCTGCCGCTGAATTAGCGACCGCTCATTTTTTCTTACAACTGACCTACCTTTCAATTAAAAATTTAATAATGGAATGGTTAGATGCCTGCATGCTTTTTCTTCTTAAGAACGCATGTGAATAAAACAAAATACTGGAGTTTAGACGTCGACGCAGCTACTCCCGGGTCGTAGACCCAAGAACCGCGGACGAGAAATTGGGGCCAGTCTCCCACTGCGTCGTAATGACGTTACGTAATAAGGTTTTTGGACAGCAATCTAACCAACTTTGGAGGGAATTCGATCTTATCCCTCCGTGCCCGTAAAAAACACCTCGGTAACAGCAACTAGCCCTCGATGGACCCTGGGGTCCTTTAGAGCCTCTATAAGCCCTCTGTAAGCCCTCCGTAAGCTCCTGGAATCCGGGCGATCCGGGCGCAGGCTGGCTTTTCGGGCGAGCTGGCGCCCTCGGCTGGGGAGACGGCACTCGTATATGAGATTGGCGTGCAATCCGGGTAAGATTGCTGTGCGATCCGGACCCCAGCCGTGGTCCGGACTGACCGGCAGAGGTGAACGCAGTCCTAAACGCACTCCGCTGTGCTTTGCTCTTCTCATGTACCTATCTGTACTGCTGGGTGTATGAATGAGATCAAAGATGCACATCGAAGCATGGTCTCATAGTTTTGATGTCCCTTATAACGATAATGCAGATTTATTTTTATTCACTAAAAGAAAACTCGTGAAGCGACACACAGCCTCGGCTGTGGTCATATTTGCCAAGGTAGAAAGATGTTACAAGTCGCGAATAAAAACCTATAGATGATGCTTAGGTAGGGAGCTTTAAAGTACCTATGGTCATTGTAAGTCCAAAAATTTTACCATTTTTGTTCTTCGATAATGGCGCCCATGATATATCATGTTTGTTACAGTACTATCGCAACACCAAGTTTAAGATTTGTGCAATTACGTTTTGTTAATCAATGCAATAATTCAATGAATAGGTAAAACCAGCTAATTCAAAGCCTCTTTACAGATAAAGGGGCACAAGCGCACCGACGGGGGTCCGCGCTAACTTAGAACCGACGGGGGTGGGGGGGGGGGGTTGACCGCCCCCCTGAGATCTCGAAAACGAAGCAAGTTAGCGACAAGTGGTAAACGGGGGTACGCACGGAGAACTTCTACAATTTTGACAAGGTCATTTGCAGGTCAGGTCATAGCTGACGTCTGTAACAAATGTAAAAAGTTAAATAAACAATTTCTTCTTCTGTGATAGTCTGTTTTGGGACCTTCTTGTTCGAGCCGTATAACCAACACGGTTTTTCTTTTCTTCAAGTATGTATTGTAACTTGTAAGTTTACCAATAGAATCCAAAAGTGATAGACAATCGGCCGAGACTTTGAATAACAGTACGTCCGGCCATTACGGCGGTTGGCTTTCGAATCCCTCCTGCTCGGCGTCGGCGTCGGCCGCTACATCCAAACGTCACACACATGCATCATACATATTACATACAGATGTACGTCATATCATAGCACCAATCAGAAGTGGGCCAGGACAGGCGTCACAGGGGAGGAGCGAGGACCATATAAGGATATTGTTAGTGGGTAAGGGGGCTGGACAGTAAGTACAGAGGGAGGCGGAGGACGGGGTAGGAATGAATTTCGTTACAACGTCACAGGGGTAAAAAAGTCAAAATGGCGGCGCTAGAAATGAAGATAGTTTTTCTCGAATAACTTTCGAAGTAGCCAAACTAGAAACAAACTAATGGCCCCATCGTGATCCTCTCGTCAATCCACATCGAATCATATATGTGCTGACCTCGAAAGGTCAAGGTCAAAGGGTGACCTCAGATCAAGTGACCTCAAGGTCATCATATAAGTGCATCATTCGATGCGCCTTGTCGAGCTGAAAACGATGAGACCATCCGCGCGGCTGTATCTCGTTCCTGTAAGGAGTTATTAGCAAAAAAAAAAAACCTTTGCCGACCCTTGATGACGCCACAAGACCTTACAGTTGCCCAAGAGGGTTCTGCGACACCTGAGCGAGCGTCATTTCAGCGAACGACATTTGAGCGAAACATTTTCAGCGATTATCAATTTAAGCGATTGACTTTTTCAGCGATTGTCAAGTCGGCGAATTCAATCACAGCGATTATCAACGTAAGCGAGGACCAGAATCAGCGAAACCAGATTGAGCGAATATATGGTGGTCAATGGGAGACCAATTGAGCGAATAGAGTTACAGCGAAACCGAACGCGACGAAAGTCAATAATTTCTACTTTTCGGAAATTCTTGCCCTTTGAATACCCGTTTGGTTTGTGTCATGCTTCAAGCTGCGCGCGACTGTTATCTTGAAAATCTGTTATCTTGTTCTAGTAATCTTGTTGGAAACCTGAAACCACAAAAATATCAGGCCTCATTTCGCAACGTTTAATCATTGATCTTGCAACGTTTCGTTTTTAAATTTTTGTTTCATTTCATACGTCATGATAACACCTAACAGTTTGTAATCCACCAGAGGTAAAGACAAAATTAAATACAATGGATTGGCTACCGTTCAGTAGCGGCGGAACACCTTCAATTAAGGGGGGCACCGCCGACTTTTGGTCTCATTCTCTCCATGCAACGCCCATAGGGCTAATGTTAAAATGCCAAAATCAAGGGGGGCACGGTGCCCCGGTACCCCCCTTCGTTCCGCCGCCTATGAGTAGGTACCGTCTGGACAAAACTTAATATAACTATTCTATTTGTTAAATTCTATAAAGAGCAGGGGGTGAAATTGAACCGTTGGAATTGTTAAGAAATGTAGCATTACATTTGGAGCTCAATGTCTGAGGTCTTTGGACGTGACATTCGCCATCCAGTTCCGGATAACCATGAGATATTCCGAAAACATTCGCGCGTATACGCTCGCAAAAAAGAACGTTACAGGACGATGAAGTGTTTCGCTGAACTGGCAGTCGCTCAAATTGTAGTCGACGAAATAGATGTCGCTGAAACATAGCTTTCGCTAAAATTGATAATCGCTATATTTGATAATCGCTGAACTTGATAATCGCTGAATTGCCATTCGCTGAAAATGGTTCGCTCAAATGACGTTCGCTCAAATGACACTCGCTAAAGTCGCTCGCACCGGCCCAAGAGCAAAAAAGGCCTCAAGTTAGTCAATGTTGATCGTATATTGGGCCATTCCAACGCGTTTTAGTGTAAAAAAAAACCGAGGATTGATTTTCCCTCCGTTGACTTATAATGGAGTGGTCAAGAAATTGGCCTGACCTTAGGTCATCGATATCAAAATTCCGAGATGTCCAAATTGTAGCTATCAATACACTCATTAGATCCTACGACTTTCAAAGGTCTCCGTTATCTATTGTAGCTCTGACACGGTGACAAAGTTGCAAAGAAGTGATTTGAGGTTGGGTCATTCGAACTGAAGTCACCTGGTGACCTGACCTTGAAAGATAGGAGGTTCAAACTTGCACACCATGTGTAAAATTGATGAAGAAAAGACCATGCTAAATTTCGCAGCGCTAAGCGCTGCAGTTTTTCCACTATTTACGAAAAACCTCGGGGGGGGGGGGCGGTTGACCACCCCCCGTCGGTGCGCGGGCTAAGTTGCCAAATAACTGCACTCTTGATAGGTAAGTTATTTTTTTTATTTCTAATATTTTTCATCAAACTGTTGATATTCGTATAGGAAAAGCCAATGTAAAGACACACATTTTCCCACTGTACGTCAAAAGTTTAAGGTCTTTTATTTTCATCGTGATTACTGCAGACAGCGAGCTGCCGCTGCTGTCTGGAATCTGTCCACATCAATCAGCCTTATTAGCGTGGCCAGCGGCCCGGTCCGGTCCGCCGGCTGCATTCCGCCGCGGTGCGCCGACAGACTGTGGGCCGTGGGCGGCCGTCGGCCCGGGCCGGCACCTGGGCGCCGCGCTGCAGCCCGCGCCGAGCGAGACGAGCTGCCGCAGCTCGCCGGAGCTGTCGGCGCCGCCCGGGCCGACGGACAGAGCTGCGGAGCGTCGGCCGGGCAGAGGTGCGGAGGGCAGCGCGGCCGGGCGGCGCGCGGCAGCCGCCGCCGGCGGCCCGCTCGATCGATCTCTCAGTCATGGCTGGCGCCTCCCGCATCCATGGGCGATAAGATACCGGTGTCGGCTCAGGACAGCACGGCCGAGCTGCTGACGCCGCTCGACCTCGGCTCGCGGCCCAATGGCGAGGCTGAGGTGCGACTGGCCGGCCGCCATCACAGGTGGGTGACAGGAGCACCGGCGGCCGCTGCTCACCGGCCGGCCGGCGGCCGCCGGAGCCGACGCTAGGATGTCGGACTGTCTAAGAGGCCCAACGGTTAGAAATTGGTGCTTTTTAAATTGCAATTGAAGAGATAATTAGGCCTTCTGCTTTCATAGTGAAAAAAGGAGTGAACGTTTTCCAATTTTAGTGCAAACATGTTCAGTAGAAAATTAGAAATATCGGTATATACCTATAGAAGTGGTTACTTTTGTGAGTTTTTTTTTGGAGGAAACGTCTCAAATAATTTACAGAGTTGTGCATGCTGAGTGAGATCTTCTGTTTGTACGTATCGAATGTGGATTTTTGGTGGAACTGCTCAAATGATCGGCATGTGTAAAGTATTCGGCTCCCATGGGACATCAAGCAGCACCCGGATGTGAATATCATTCCTTCCCCTTTTCTACGTTCTTTCTTTCGTTCGTTCTTTCGGAGGCGAGTCAGTCAATGGTGTACACATAAGTTGCTACATCTTTTATGAATGATGCAATTTTATAGTGCGGTCGACTAGTCTAATGAGATATGACTGTATGGATAGGTATATCGGCAATCAAAGTATTTATTTGTTCGTATGCTATCGAGCCGTTCCAAAGTGTACGAATTATATGCAATTGTCTAACCGATAAGCGGTACATTCATTCGTTACATTCAAACGACAAAATCCACTCACAATAGCCCAAATCGTTCAATTCGTTTCCGAATAAGCCTACTCCAATGATTTTTCATAAATACTGTCGGTTGTAACAATGTGTGACTTGTGGTACACTATTACGACGAATATATCACGGCTTAGTATTTACATAACGTCGCATCATATTAGGTGCAATGTGCATGCATATTGCATACATGTATGCTTATAGGTGTGTATATAACGCTCATTTCAATGTTCGATGGATAGATGATTGATGCAAATATAAGCGCTCTTCAAGATTATTTCATTCGTTTAAGCATTAAAAACCTTACCACTGAGCGACAGTTCTTACAATGCCTGGGATGAAACCTCACCGCAAGCTGAATATAAAAATGAAGTATGTAACGGATACTCATTTCCTATTTAAATGCAATCCTCATTCATATCTCATAACCTTTATAATGACTTGCTTTTAAATATGGAATAATTCTGTTCATTTTATCCTAAATAATAACACACAGCATACAAAAGTAAGAATAAGAGCATGCACATAGGGAAGGGTTACCTACCATTGTGCGCCCGCTTAAGCGGAAACTCTTCCTGTGCTTGAGCAATGTGTCCGGTGAATGCGGTCTCTGCTTAATAACGATCCTTGAACATTTTGGTAGTTAAATTCACCTCCACTCTTACAAATGAAGTTGATTTAATGGGTACAAATTACGTTTTTCCGAGCCCCTGCAACAGGCGCAATTAGGCACAGCATGCCCTAATTGCGCCACGTTAAATAATGCATTAAAGAACCATGCAAAGTTAGCCCTTTTACTGGCAAAGGAAGTAATGTTACCCGAATGCCCATATTGGTCAGCACGGGCCCCTCAGACCTACTGGGGTCCAACACCGGCTTCTAACACCAATAATTGAAAGACCACTTTTTATAAGTTTTACACGATACCAGTGAAAGCCTCGATGACGATGTCTAGACATAGCCCTAAATGCGCCCATGTCATGGCGCAATATGTGTGGGCGCAATTTGGAATGTATCTTTTGACAGGAAAATATTGATGATGTTGCACATGAGGCATGTACCGTCTTGTTTTTTGTCTCTCCATGCTTGACACATATGCCATACATAGTACTACTAAAATCACTTTGAACTACCCTTCCTCACGAACAACAGTAACAGTGCAGTGAACCTAATTCAATATACCCTGCAGTGAACCAGCATGTTCAGGATAAGAAAACACCACATTTTACAAAACCACTCCTAGTACGCGGCTTACGACCTTACGCTGGTGGCGGTAGGTCGAAAATTATTGATTTGATGATTGTGATTAATAAATTGCATTCTAAACATCAATCGACCCATTGGTTTCACAGAAAATGACGTGGGCGCAATTAAGAGACCTGGTGCAGATTGGGGACTCTCCCCTACAATCCGGATACTAACTAACGCTCTCGACAACCATATATTTGCTTCTTTACCATTGCTCCTCTTGTGACGCGCGAAACTGCGCAAAAATCCAAGGGCTGCTCGCTCAGTACTTTTACATCCACCCATTTATGTGTGGAATTAAATGCAATCGAGCGAAAGCGGGACCATTTGCGGCGGTCGTTTTCCTTTTGACGTTTCCGTCGCCTGGAACGGTCAGCTCGTCGGGCTGGCCATCCACGGCTTTTACTATTTGTCGCTGACTGAAACGGCCCGCAGCTTGGGGCAATGGCCACACTCAGAAGGCGGTTATTGGATTTTGACAGCCTTTTCAGACTTCATTGCATTTACGACTGCTGATGCCGTCATTGAACTTTTTGGTGACGCAGACAATTTTAGGAATAGCATTGCCACGCATGTTTGCCGTGACCGGAGACGCACACAATTTTCACAAAACATTGGAATTGATGTCAATCATTCCGTAAATGTCACATTATCGGCTTTCGGAATCCAATCAATACCTCCTATCGTGGCGTGCATGACCCGCTGGTCTGATCCGATTAGTTTCTAACGAACTGCTCTTCCGAGACGCATTGCTTCCTATCAGCAGCTCGCACGGACCAATCACTGGCTCCTCTGAGAGTGGTGCCGGGCGGCGTCCGCGGTTCGCGGTATCGACACACCACATGGTCAGGGCCACTGGAGCGGCCTTATTGCCATCAGTGCCGCGCGGCCGCAGCTGGGACAGACGATCACGTGGTGAGGGCGCGGAGGGGAGGGGGGCAGGCTTATGTAGCCGCTCACACTAGATAGTGCGGTTAGTTAGAAATCAGGACGGCAAAAGGAAATGAACGGCTAATTTGCAAGTCATTAAAGGCAAACTAAGTGGAAGGTAAGAAATCACAGTCACAGGCAAATCCAGAAGTCACAGCAGACACCTGCTAAGCCTGAATTCCACACCGAGAATGCTACAAGATAATCAAACCCGATGATTAATTCTCCTGACATAGGCTTCTCGATACAAGCCTTCTTATTCTCCTGGCACGAGTCTCGTGATAGTTCGGCTGCTGATCAAAATCAGCGTCTATATGTCAGCGACCGGTGACCTACACGACCGCTGAGCCGTAAGCCGATCGGGTCACCGCCACAGACGGGTGTATGATCATGTTATATTGATTGGCATGACATTCTGGATTTGATCCATCTCGTGGGCGAGAGCACGAAAGGTCATGTAAAAAAGTGTTAATGAAAATGTGGATGAACAAGACGATTGAATCATCCTTGGCAGCAAATAAGACAGATGATATTTAGATAAGCATATGCTTTATGAGACCTACGGCATTGGTCAATGGTCATGCAACCCAATTTAATAGATAAAAAAGTTGAGAAAACACTGCGCGCTGACCCTATGTCGACCATCGCCCGATATTTCACTCAACTTCTATGAAGGTGCATTAAGGATTCTGAGAGTATCCCTCATAATATCTCATAAAGCGCCAATCATTATTGGCTGAATGGAAGCGTTCAGCGGTGTGAGGGTGCAGCGAATATACTAAGCAGGCTGTTGCTGTTCTTTCTGCAATATTACAGGCGCAACCACAGGCAGGAGCTGTTACCGACCTGGCTCTTATGTTACAGGCGCGGTGGTCGGTGCTGGTACCGACTCAGCGTACTGGAGAAGATCCTTCTGCTGGTGGTAGTACTGCTGCTGCTGGGATGCACCGCCCTCCTACTAAACCTAGCACTCGGTAAGAAATTCACCGGCTTCTGATTTAGGCATTCGTTCTGACAGAGAAAAATCACACAACAGTGTGCACACTTATTTGCTTCGCGACTGTTTGATTTTGTTTTTGCTGTTAAACAAAAAACAGTCAATCCAGGGTTGCACAATAATCACGCTTGGTCATGGCACGTCTTCTCTCTTTGTTGTGGCTAACGCGGTTGCGTGCTGATAAAGCGAGACCTACGAGTATTACTGCGATCGTCGGTTCAAAAATTAAAAAGGTAGGTTATTAATAACGAGGGTGAAGGCCCATATTTGTTCTTACAAGTTATCTACTAAATGTTAATCACGTTACTTTGCCGCTGAATGTCACCCGCTCGGCCTCCCACGCTAGGACTGACGGCTTCAGGCCTTGCGGTACAGCCTACCAGCAGGCGTTTGATACTAGTGCCATCTATGAGCAGCGGAGAGAACTAGCACTAGCCCGTGCGGAGTAGAGGTAGCAAAATGTGGACCCGAGGACCCGGTCCAAAGAACCAGTCTGGACCCATATGGGTCTAGACCGGTTCCTGGAAATTTTCTGACGGGTCCAACCGGGTCCTACCATAAACTATACATCTTGCACACTACACATTATTGCAAAATATGAAGTGAATGAAGTGAATGTTTCTTTGCACACAGTAGCTCATGAGTATTCCCAGTGGGAAATAGGCTGTTTATATGATACACCTAATGATACCTACAAGTAGTTTGTATTAATTGACTTTTGGGGAACGGGTCCAACTGGTTCCGGTTCCAACTAAGACCGGGTCCGACTGGTTCCAGAAATGTCCAGCCGGGTCTGGTTCGAGTCTGGTTCCCAAAATTTTCATCTTTTGCCACCTCTAGTGCGGAGCAGCCCGACTGCGGCCCGCGGGCTATGCTACTGTAGTGCTATCTGTTGCACAAACCTGGCATGGCGGGTCCAGCCATTCCAATACAGCTTAGCATCCTCTCACTGCCTTCATACTTCACTTTGGATATAACGAATCCTCTTCAGCGACACTGGAATGTCACTTTGATATCGTTTCCTTTTCGCCCTCAGTTCTTTCCCGCGAACGGTCGATGCTAGAGCGGGCGCTAAGCGCCGGATCAGTCTCAAAATCTTCTGCCGTCAACTCCAAGCCCAACTCCAACTCCGACCCCAGCCCGGAGCCGGAGCGATGTCTGACCCCGACGTGTCTGCGCGTGGCCTCGCGCGTGCTGGATCGGATGGACCTGACTGCCGAGCCGTGCACGGACTTTTACCAGTACGCGTGCGGCCGGTACGTGCGCACCCACGCCGTACCCAGCGACGCCTTCTCCAGCTCCAGCCTGCAGCAGATGCAGGAGCAGATGCTGGTCGACATCAAAAGTGAGCATTGAAGATTGAAATGCGATATATCGGATAACATGTAGCAAGGGTAGTCTGAGGTCAGAGCAGCTTCCTGTGACTGTGCTAATTGGAAAGACGCATCCTTAAACTATTTTTTTTTTAAACTACCGTGAGTCATGCTTATTGCAATAAGCACATTGTAATCGGCAAATAAAGTGCTGTTTAAATGGCATTGACTCATTGCATATTTCTGTATGTAACTACTTGCGTGCTATATCACCATTCACCGTCATTATATTTTTATTTTCCAGAGCTCATTGAAGACCATGAAGTATCAGAAAACATACCAGCTATCAAGAAGGTGGAGAAGCTTTACTACTCTTGCGTCAACATCAGTGAGTTAAGCGTCCACTACGCCCGTATGCGTATCTTTGCAGGATACGGATGTTTATGTTTTGAATGGAATTATTCACTTGCTCATCTGCAACATATTTTGTGTGTGTGTGTGTGTGGGGGGACACATGACATATTTATGAAGGTTCTCGGTCATACTTTATTTGTGAGCATTTTGCTTCGAACTCGGAAGTGCGCTTTCCACAATAAAAGTCAACGTGCAATAGGAAACCCAAAATCTGGCATAGTTTCTGAATTGAACCTTCCTGCCTTTTCGTGCATCAGGCAAGGACCCGGCCACGGATCTGGAGCTGACTAATGACTGTCTGATGTCTCTTCCTCTCCGTGCGCCAGGCAAGGACCCGGCCACGGACCTGGAGCTGACCCGGGCCGTGGTCGGGGTGGAGCTGGCCCGGCTGGGCGGCTGGCCGCTGATCGACCCCGACTGGGAGGCGGATCGGTTCAACCTGACCGACCTCATCACCCGGCTGCACAGTGTCAAGGTCTACAGTCTGCTCGAGGTGCACGTCAACTCGGACTCGCGCGACACGTCCACCTACATCATGCAGGTGGGGAACGATGATTGGTAAGGGAGCAGATACCTCAGGAGGGAAAGATGGGAAAGGATCTCATGAAGCATACCGTGGAAGGTAGGATACTGAGCCTATTTGAAAACTCTAGTAGAATTAGCATCATTAGTGAAAGAAGGGCAGTAGTTTGCATTGCAAATGAATCAAATCAGGCTGTATCGTGAATATTCGCATGATTGTCAAATCAAATGACAGGAGCTTGGGAGAACTCCTGGAAATGAGCAGATGTCGTAATTATGTTTGAAGCGGGATTTGCAAGTACTCGGGATTTGCAAGTATCATAAAATGCAACACAATTTGTCCTTTCTGAGAAATGTATTGCGCAGCATTTGTTGAATAATAGACGTGACATAACATTGCATACTGCGTCACAGATTCGCATTTGAAATGTTTTCCCATAAAGCAAATCTCTGAGAAGATTTACTTTGAAGAGCTTTACTCGACGAGACTTTGAGGCGGTTCATTCAGTAGCCAACGGGCATGCAAGTATTTTGCAATGTTTAATGAGATGTGTCAGAACGTAATAATTCCTACCGGACTTTTAGCGGTGTCTGTTAGCTTCACACAACTTTATGAAACAAGATCAAACACACGGCCATGCAGATTTAAGACATTCCAATACAGCACAAGGTCTTTTTCATTACCTCATTTCGTTTTTTTTTAAATTAGCCTCTCCAAATTGAATTAAGTACGAACTCCTAAGATTACTTCTTGTCGTCGATGATGAGAGTCCCTGTAGGGTCTGGACCGGCGCCATGCCCTTGCCGAGCGGTACGCGGCCGGCGGTACAGTCTGCCTGCAGGGGCAGCGACCGGGCGCTCGGCGGGACAGTCTGCCCGCAGGGGCAGCGACCGGGCGCCCTGCGGAACAGTCTGCCTGCAGGGGCAGCGCCCGGGCGCCCGGGGCGGCCGGACGGTGCTGGGCGACGGCCGGGTGGGGTCGCGCGGCTGGGAGCCGCGAGGAGCGGGGCGCGCCGAGAGTTGAATATCATCCGTCAAATTAAATGCACAGACTTGAAGTAACAATCATTGGACGGCCGCGCGACACTAGAGTCACGAAGCTCGCTCTTTCTGCAGCTGTTCAAGGGCTCGCCGCTGATTGAAGAGGACTACCTGCTGAACAAGACGGACGCCCACGCGCGCCGGAACCTGGCCGCCTACCGCCAGCTGCTGAAGGACACTCTGGCGGTACTGGCCGACCCCTCGTCCGACACCGACCAGCAGGCCAAGGAGATGATCGACTTCGAGATCGAGTTCGCCAAGGTGGGTTTATGTGGGAAAGGAGACCTGGGGGCTCTCTCCGGTTGCGTGGGTGACCATGATAACGTTTGGGTGGATTTTACACAACTTGGAAAGCGAGCACATGGCTAGGACAAAGTCTTTGGTGACATGAGTAATAGTATCGTTCCAATAATATGACCACCTGTTTCCTAATATCCGTTTTGTTTCAACCATACTTTAATTTGATGACCGACTTATGTGCTGCCCAGCTGCTGGGTCAGACCTCGTGTGAAGACTCCTCGGTGCTGCTCAACACCACTGACTCGGACGTCCAGCTGGCGGAGCAGAGTCGACTGACTCTGCACGAGCTCACCGAGCTCACTCCCTACGTGAGTCAATTTCCCAATGACCCCGCGACAGGGTGGAGAATCAATCCGAGACACGGTAGAACAGGATGAAATAGCCCTTCGTTGCGGTCTATCGCATGTTGCAGGGATGAAACACCTTTTCAGTTTATTTCACAGGCCCAATTGAAGCAAGCAGCAGAATGCAACCAACAAATTATTTCCATTCAACACGTTTATGTCAACGTTAACGTTAAAGTCCAAAAGGATGCTGGCAAGTGGCAACGTTAACGTTTAACCATGGGTATCTAGATACCTTTGCCGAGTTGGGGTTGCACGGGCGCGGCAAATCCGCCGCCGCCCTAGCGGTGACCTTGACCTCCGCCGTCTGGTGCGGCTCCAAAGCCAAGCTGACATAGAATTGGGAAAGCTGGTGCTACCCCAACTCGGCATAATTCTCCACCACTGCCGTTTAACTCCAAATCGTGAATGCTAATCGCAACATCATAGCGCTCTAGAAAGAATAAGTAGGGTAAGGTGCCTAATTAGCGACCCCCTTAATTTGAACCGTCATTGCTCACGCTCTGTGGGTGCCACTGTATTACTGGCTTGATTTTCGGAGAGGTCGTTCATTTTTCTATTAAAATATAGTCATTTTATGCCCCAATATTCACTAACTTATTTGCAGTGAGTATTTTGGCAAACCATTGCAAAAAAACGCTAATAGGGAACTCTTCCCGATTAGCGACCGGGGAGGGTCGCTAATAAGTCTATGGGTTTCCCCATATTAAAAATGGCGAAAAATGCGACACCTGAAAAGATGAAATATGATCTCAAAAAGGTAACCTATGCGCAAAGCACTCAATCACTCGAACAGGAACGTTTATCCAACACATTTACGTAAGTAAAAACTGATCACGTGCTGCACCGAAGGCGAAAAGAAGGCGGAAATCCAAATTTATCAGGCTATCTCGTATGGTATTCGAGGTCCGCGCTGAATTCGGCAACCCTGCAGTCGGTCACGACATTTGGCATCCCCTGCCACACATTGCAAGCTTCAGCAACACCTCATTTTCATTTCTCTCTTTTCCCCTTTCTTTGCCTTCTTGAGCTATTTGCGACCATGTCAGGCGCAAATAGGAAATATGAGTTGCGACACATTTTTAACCGCCATGCTGTGCACAGTTGAGCGATTCACTATGGGAAAACGGCAATCAATTGAAAAAGGAATGCCGATTCAGAATAAAAAAGGTGCATCATCCTAAAGTGCATCGCTTTTCATCAGAGAGGGCCCAAACACGCACGTTTTGGATAAGAAACTCGTCATTTTTATTTAAAATCACCTGAAACGTCCCACCAGAAACATCGACGACCGGAAAATAGATAGGCATCGGTAGGATTGTGATTGCAGGATTGCAAAATCCTGATTGCATTCCTTTTTGGTGGATTGCACCTGGATTTGAAATCCATTCCAAAAAACAGGATTTGATTGCGGATTGGATTGCATCATACTTCCAATTTTTGCAATCCAATCCGGATTGTGTTTGATTAGTGCTCTGAAATGGTTTGTTGCGATTGAAAATTATGAGATCGGCTTCATCGGCTTAATGTACTTTGCTATCAAGGGCTTTACATCGAAACTTGAAATAATTTAAACGCTTTTAATTTAAACCCTCAAAATAATATACGCTGATGAACTACATAGGAAGGGCAAAATTACGTATTTGAGGGTGAGTTTTAAGCATATAAAACACTGGTTGGGTAGAGGTTTAAATGTGGGGGTGTTTGAGGCAAAAAAATATTTCCCATAAAATACCTGTGCCTTAGATAGGAATTACTCGCAAGACTAGGTACTAGAAATGGGTGATTTGGGGATGGAGGCACGGCCCTATGCCCCCTCCCTCCCCCAGATCCACTAGTGCACATAATGATACAACAGGATTGCAAAAAAGGATTGCGGATTTGATCACAATCCAAGTGAAAAAAGGGGATTGCGGGTAGGAATGCAATCCACTTCGGCACTAGGAATGTGGATTGGGAATGCAATCCTTTCAAAAAGGATTTTACCGATGCCTGAAAATAATTTAGTTTGATAACCAAAGTATGACTGACCTTTTGACGATATTTTTACCCCGTTTTCTCCTGCCAGTTTTTCTGTAGGGAGGTAGGTCGCAAATCGGAAAGGGTCGCTAATTAGGCACCTTACCCTACCCGTCTGGTGGCGCCGTCGTGCGGGGATTCTCTGAACTAGCTCGTATCCACCGGCGTGCCAATCTTCCCCGCTCGCGTGTTGTTCCGACAGTTTGACTGGTCGGCGATGCTGCAAAACTTTCTAGCGGTGAACAACATCAGTCACGACATGCGGATCGTCGCCGTAGACTGCAAGCCGTTCGTCCAGGCGGTCTCGAAGTTCGTCAACAGCAGTCCAAAACGGTGGGCTTTTAAACGGCGTTAGCTATGATGATCGTCTTTGCCTTTAAAGCGACACCTCTCTTGGAACAAATATCATTTAATTTTCCTTTCTGTATTTGAATTCGCAAGTGATACCGATAGCTAGATGACGCGGGCATTGTCCTTACTGGTGTTCCTGAAAAGCATTCCCGTCGTTATTTTGTTGCTGACCGACCTCCGTTGTTACAGAGTGGTAGCCAATTACCTGGTTTGGCGCTTTATGTTCAAGAACATTCGCTTCATGGGCCAGCAACTGCACGAGATTTGGCAGGATTTCCGAAAACAGGTCCCTAATCTATACGAAGAGCGGGTCTACTCTGTAAGGTATGTGGTGGATCCTCAACCATCGACTCAGTTCTAAAAAAAATCATTAGAGCATCGTTTTCATTATGATGCCGCCAACACTTGTTGATACTTGATACCGCACTATTATGCAACATTTTCGTTGAAATGGCTGATTTTCAGTTGAGTTTGTGTTTGTCACCTGCAGATGGAAGGGATGCGCGGAATTGGTGGAGAAAGGTCTGGGAAACGTCCTCTCCTACATGTACATCCAGCATTACGATAAACACGGAATTAAAGCCAAGGTAAGTTCGATATGTTATTCGTCGTGCGAAGCACAGTGTTTGCTGAATATTTACAAATGTCATGTCATCAAAATTTGGTCGAGGCTCGTTTACATACAACTGTATGAACACCTAAGTGATCAGTTTGTGTATTTATTTGCACGACTGCAATCGTTACAAATTATATTGCATTTCATACAGGTTGAAGAGATGATCCATCATGTCAAACAAGCTTTCCGGGAGAGCCTTCTTAGCGAAGACTGGATTGAAGCAGACATGAAAGCAGCGCTAGTCAAAAAGGTAACGTGAGAATAGGATAAGTTACCTGTCGTCTAATCACTTTAACACACGATGAAATGTTACAGCCTGAAATGATGAAATGTATATGAGCTCTTAGTCACATGCAAAGAGTTGTTTCTGATTGAGGTATACTTGCGAAATACGGGTATACCTATCGTTTCCAGGGATTCCAAACCATTAATCATTGTTGTCTAGGTATCTGATCAGTATTGTTTTTCAGCTAGACATGATGGGTCAGAAGATTGCGTACCCCAACTCCGTGCTGAACATAACTGCTCTCAATGAAGAGCTGGCCGATGTAAGTACCCGAGTATTTCTTATTATGTGAAAAAGAAATCAATGAATGAAGTCGGATGTTATAGCATGTGCTTGAATGTAGTTTGACAAGAAGTTACACCTATTAGTCATTTTGTGGTGAACTTTAAAAATAAAGCATTCATATAAATATAGAAAGTAAGCAAATGGTACAATATTGTTCATCATGCGCTCTAGGCTGATGAATTTAACCGTACAGCTCGATGCATGTTTTATATTATATTTGGTGGCCATTGAGGCGTCCTTTTTGTAATGGATATCAAACTGTGTCGTGGAAGTTAAAGTGGATGTTGATCAAATGTTGGTAATTCATGTTCAATCTTTGCCCACGTCTTCAGCTGCATTTTGACGACCAGCACCTACTGAACAACGTGCTGCGACTGCGGAACCACGAGGTGCTACAAGACCTGCAGAAGCTGCTGCGACCGGTGGACAAGGACAGGTCCGGACTAGCTATCTGTTCCGCGGATACGGAATAGTTTTGTGATATTGATCCATTTGAGATACTTACGGAGGATTGAGGAGCACGTTTAACGAGTAAAAGTAATGTCTACAACACCAAACGCAGTGGAATGTCTCGGTTTTTAACCCAGGCCTTCATTTTGCAATGTTTTCCTTTTTACTCGACTCCTTTTTACCCGACTTTTGTAAACCCTTACTGTCTTCCTTTTTCACAGAGATTGGGTTGTCAGCCCATTGCAAGTAAATGCATTTTATTCGCCCATGCACAACGAAATATGTGAGTAATTCATGCTGCTAATTCATAGTTGCTATGATGCAATTGCAATTGCATCCGGCTGTATTGCGACGAGTGTCTCGGCAATCGTATTACAACATAGTTACTCATACAGCGTCATCAAATGTCAAAGTCTTTTGATCATCCTTATGCATAAGCTGCTACACAGAAGCCATGCATTTTTCGTGGCAAACAACTTATCATGCACAGCTCACTAAATGCTATAACATATTCAAATGTGATGACTGACATCTGTTTTAATTTTCCGTGTTTCAGTATTTCCACTCGGATTTCTGCAAGAGCCGTTCTTTGGCTTGGATTATCCAGCGTAAGTGTTTCTGTTTCAACGACATTCTTCTATTGCACTAAACATTTATTAAGTTTGTTACTGAGCAGAGATGAAAGCAAATACAACTATCTGAATTGGAGTACCAGCGTGCACTTCTCGCCCGCTAAAACGTTTATTGAAACGATGATTTATTGATAAATGTTGCTGATGTATGCGCTACTTTTCAGCTTGGCCAACTTTGCTAACGTGGGTGTGGTCATCGGGCATGAGCTAACGCATGGGTTCGACAATCACGGTAAGTTCATATGTATTTGCCGCAATACATATAAACATTTTTTGCTACTGCGTAGCGTGTTTTATTGCATTGAACGCATTAAATCGTCAGATCACCGGCTCAATGTTTAATTAATGTGACGGATTGACGCTAACTGAAGACATACGTCGGTTTCTTCGATGTTAGGCATAGCTCAGCCATGGATGAGATAATAATGGATTGGTGTCTTCGCATTTTTTGGCGACATTGAGCTCAGGCCTACCATCTAGCGGGAGAATTATCGTAAGTTAGGAGCAAGCCGAGTGAACGCCGCTGATTAGCATTGTGACATACGGGAGTGTGGTGTAGTAGCAGGCTTGTTGTGCAATTTTTCAAAAGGGTTTGTCTTTATATGTCAGTAAAAGCGAAGAAATTAATAGATTTATGTGCAGGGTCAGTAATAAGATAAGCAGTTCCATGTTATTTCCTCATTAAATCGTGAAACAGGGAGTTATTGGAGACTTCGCCAGCACGTGTCGTTTTCGCTATTTTTCACATGAGTCTTTACTCATGGCCTAAATCAAACAAATTGTCCGATCAAAGAACAAAACGAACGTAAGTACTTTCTATAAGTCTAATGAAAAAGTTAAACGGAATTGCTAACGTCATTTGCCGCTCAATATGTCATTCAATCAAGACGCTCTATGAAAAGGACCCAACCAGTGCTGCGTAGTCGATGAAATTTCAGTGACTTTGGCTCCAACTCCGATTCCGGTATCCAAATATGGACTCCGACTCCTCCGGGCAGAACTGTCCATTCACACAGACTCCGACTCTGACTCCGACTCTGCAGCCCTGGTAAGTCTGTGGGATCGATGACTTTTCGGTGACGTTCGACTCATCACTCATACTCCAACTACAGCTTTTAAAAAATCAACCGACTCCGAGTCGGAACAGAAACGATGGCTCTGACTACAACTCCGCAGCCCTGGCCCAAGATAGCCGCCTAAAACATCTTTGATGTGTGATCTTCTTCGTACATTGTTAATGTTATTTTAAACAAGGAGTGGAAAAGGGAGACGAAGCCTTCACAAACGATCTCCTGTTGCGGATCGATCAGCCGCTGGAATATGTAGAAAGGCATAAACACAACGCATCTCATTTCATCGTTTTCCTAACGACTCTGCACCAATGTAAGCACTGATCAATGCAGTGCGAGCATCGATGTGATATTTGTGTACCAATTTTGAGAGTTATCCGCCCAGCCGTTCTTGGGATATGGAAGCGGCACCCCGCACGTGCGCACGTGCAGTAGCACCCCCATAGTGACACATGGAAATGCATTGACCACTGGGTGCCTAACAATTGACGAAGTTTTACTGTAATTGGCCTAGCCATTGCGGAGTTACTTTATGTGGAACAATTTCGACACCCCTAAGTTGGCACGTGGCACGTGCCGTAACATTAACTAAGATGAAGAAAATCGGGCGAAATTCGGAGAAGAGGGAATAAGCCTACCAAATATGTATGACGTATTGTCAAACTGCTGTACCATTGCGAGTAAATGACCATATAAAAGGTCGTACAAGCCGATGGGACTGGGCGTTTCAATACACACCGTACCTTACGCATTTTATTTTCGTTATTACCTAAAGGCTGCTTGACGTTTTTGGCTTTCAAGCATTTAAGATATTTTTTGTCGTCTCAGGTCCAGTAAGATTACCTCCAACTCGTGGGAATATGCACTTCAAGCCAACTAACACACCACACCCACGTGTGTTATAATGCTGAGAGATGGCGTTCACTCGGCTAGCTCCTAACTTACGATAATTTTCTCGCTAGATGGCGGGCCTGATCCCAATGTCGCGGATCCCAATGTTAATTTCCACGAGACACCAATCCAGTGTTATATCATCCATGGCTCAGCTATGGATCCTGACGCTATGAATGCTATCCACATCCAGGTCGTCGCCACAACTGGGGAGGAAACGTGACCAACTGGTGGTCAGAGAAGCTACTGACAGATTTCACCAGGCGCGCCATGTGCATCGTCAAACAGTACTCCAAATATAAACTGGATGTCGTCGGCAAAAACGTGAGCATCAAATTGACCAGGCAAATCTAAATATGATGGACGTTTGAGCTTTATGTATCGGTTAGCTTGGATAGGCGTTTGACCTTTATGTCAATTAGAGTGGACAGCCTATGGCCTTTATGCCATTGGCCTATCGTTGCGCTCGTTACTTGTGCCCTTATCACAAGACGTTACCTCAGCATGCCCGTATATTGGCCAGTGGCCACTCCACCTGCTCTCGTAACCCAGCGGGTAACAAAGACTGACCTTCCGTGACCTTACCTCTGACCTGACCTTTCAGGTGGATGGTAACAAGACGGTGGGTGAAAATATGTGTGACGGGTCCGGTCTGAAGCAGGCTTTCAACGCGTGGCGAATGTATCGACAGGGCCATCCAAAGGAACCCAGCCTGCCCGGCCTGAACATGACCGACGAGAAACTCTTCTTCGTATTCTACGGGCAGGTGAGGTAGAGACGGCACGAATGAGTCATATATCTAGAGATGGTGCCACTAAACGCATCCCGCTGCGGGGTGAAAAGATGTCTTGTGTCGATTAGAAAATCACACGGGCAGCACTATCAGAATCTTTTCAGCACTGCAACATCTGTGGCGTAATCTGGCATTGAGCATTATGACCTGACATCGAGTATTATGGTGTGATCTGTTAATTAATTGATATCTGGGTTCTGTGGTCTAAACTGTGGGGGAGGGAATGACCTGACCTCTAGGTACCGTAACCTGACCTGTCTTTCGTAGTATGACCTTTGCGCGCCGTTTCAGATCTGGTGCGAGGTGGTGAGTCGCGAGGGCTGGGAGAAGTACGCCGTCGACCCGCACAGCCCGGGTCGGTACCGGGTCAGCGGCGTCCTGCAGAATTCACGCCAGTTCGCCGAGACCTTCAACTGCCCGGTCGGATCACCAATGAACCCGCTAGAGAAATGCGATGTCTGGACCTAGAGAACCAGTCGCTGTCTCCCCACTAGCAGTTGGAGGGCCCTCCGGACGTCATCTCTGTATAGAAATGGATTTTTATGCGTTTCCGCGGTATAGCGCTAGACAAAAGACAGGAGACATGCTCTTTTTTTCTTAAAGAAGTGAGCTGCTTATCTTTGACGCTTTCCAGACTACGATTCGTCTAATGGATTTGACTGCTATTTATCGTTAAAGTCAATGTACTTGATTCATTACAATCGAAGATGGATGCACAAATAGAATGCCAAAATGATGGGCGATGAAGTCCTCATAAGCGCACAAAGGAGGCATCGCAGGTGTATGCGACCGAGTGTGTACCCTTTTCACTCTCAGATCTCTAACGTGACCTCTTCTGCGCTCGAAGTACAACTGGCAGGAGGATGTCACACGTATAGTCAATGAATTGTGGGTTGCTAGTGATGATTGGCAGGGGAATTTTACTCTCCGCAATTGTTGCCCTGGGTGAGTGCAGGCGCTTTGCTAGGTGAAAGGAACGTATGCGTGAGTGTAAATGTGCAGGATATTTCACCAGTTCTTACAGAGTCGGCAGGCCGCTCTCATCTCTACTCTGTCTGTATACTTCTACTCTTCTTGTGTGGTCATCAACCGGCCAGAGAGTAAAGTCCATAAGAATGTGCGTTCCTTGTGTCCGATGAATTTCATGGAAATATGGTTATTTCATGTAGCTATAATAAGGAGTTACATACAAGCAGTTTATATTGTAAGCAGTATTATATATTATATAAGTTATTATAAGCAGTTTCACCAGGATGACCAATTATATTTTCAACCCTTGAAATATCTCACCGTCTCATAAAACATGACACAAAGACAACTTCTCAAAACTAAGCCACCTCATGTTATGATATGTTATAGCACAGGGAAAGAAAGATAAGAGTAAGGCTGTTAAACAAGAGTAACGATATGCTGCATTATTTCTCTTCTGAGCGTTGAAACACAACTTTTCATGTTGTAACTGGTGTAAGAATATCAAAACTTTTAATGAGATTCAACATCAACTTCAGTTCATTCATTCTGTTCGAGAAATGGGCGTAACAGTAACAACATACTTTCCAAGACAAAGCATAAGGTTTTTTACGAATTGTTGTTCTAACTCATTAAACGCCACAATATATAAGCTCAGAAACTGTAAAACACGTCTTCCACTTTCCACGGCGACATTGCTGAAATCAAACTATGAAACTTATTTGATGTCACGAGCCTACAAATACTGGATTATGCTGTAATGCACAGTTCTAGAGGATATTACACTTTATTTGTTACATGAACGTTGTTTTACGTTTGTTAAATTTCCATGTAACGTTTGGCTGTGTGCGTGATCACCAAATTGCATAGGCGGTAGCTAAAGGCCGAAAGTTTGATCGTGCGTGCAGAAATGTTCCATGTACTGTTCGTTTACTCATAGACAAGGAAGTATGCATAGACGTTATAGCACCGTTAAAGTACTCTACTATTATTGCATGTATTGTAACCATTTCATGCCATTGCAGTTACTTTGATTCCATTTTGGATCTAGAATAACCTGACCTATAAAGTTTTATATTAAAAATCACTTATATTTCGACACTCATTCAACCAAATTGATCTGTCACCGAATGGATACCGAATGGACATGTTTGTACGTAACGCTAGCACATCATTACCCCTTTCGAAATTGCCTATTTTGAAGTATAAAAAGCTTCAAATAAACACAAGATAACAGGCATTGCGGTTCAAGGTTATCTTGTCGTTAGGTTCATCGCAACTTTCCATATTTTTGTGGTTATTCTAATTTTGAATTTAAATCTACGGATGTGCTCTTGCCTCTTCTAATAACAGAAGCTGATAGATTTCCCCACATTTAATTTCGTTTATGATACCGATTAGTGAATTTGTCTCTACATATGGTGGTTACGTAATACGTAATATACTTTGGCTCAGTCTATCCAAAATAACGATCATTGCTGTTACACACCAGGTACGAAATAGTAGTCCATTAGGTGGTGATTTCTCAATTCAAATAAAGGGGTTTCTTTTACGCTGGTGTTTCAGCTTATTGTATTCCGCTCCGAATAGATAAAGCCTTGAACATTTTTATTATATCTTTCATCATTTTCATCTTATTCTAGTTGTTTGCTACGCGTATTTAAGAACGTCTCGTGCCAGAAATGTCCTATTTATATGTATGCACATTCCCTTTATGGGTCTGACTGGTGGTGTAAAGAGGTGTTCCTTTAACGCGATGTTGTAAATTTTATCTCTGTTTATAAGTAGTCCAAAGTAGTTTCTTATATGTAGACGGCTACCGCGATCTCTTTCAGAGCACGCTGGACGTTTGCCCTCTATTCACTCATCAGCCAGTCGGTCGTTCCTATATGTGGGTAATGATAAGTTGCCGTTACGTGTAGTGCTGCATGGTGTTACCATGTATGTACTTTTGGAATAAAATGTGGCTGGAGCTCTGCTTCTTTGACTTAGGGGAGAGTGGGGTAATTTGGCCGGTGGTGTAAATTGGCCGCCCCCACCTGTACGAAAGCTGATAAAAGTGAATGAAATAATTTTAGTCTCTATTCATTTGTCATCGGCAGAATTAACTCGAGAACAAATATCAAAACTTTCCCCCTCTTAGTTTTATTCAAAATTAATGAAAGGTGAATTACGTTAGAAAATGGTAACTTTTACTTCCGTTTAAAAATTTGTTTAACATGTAGTATTTGGGCTGTAAACGAATTAAAACATTATAGCGCCATTTTTGAGGGTGTTCAGCGGCTCCAAGAGCAATTTCATCTAGTTCTGTACAGCCATGACGACTTTATAGACAAAAAATTTCAGAATGGCAATGTGGGGTTATTTGGCCGGGACTAGCGGGGCAACTTGGCCGGTGCGCTCAGAGTCACTATGCTGGGACGGCCGAGTTGTCATGGTTAATTATACCATAAAGGACATAATTCATGACCAACTTTGACTACCTTGATGCCATATATCCTATTGGACAGCTGTAAGGGCATGTGACGTCATCAAAGGTTACCTAACGCTTTTTTGCTAATAAATACTTACAGAAAAAAGATACAGCCGCGCAAATGGTCTCATTGTGTTCAGCTCGTCAAGGCGCATCGAATGATATACATGATGACCTTGAACTCACGTAACCTTGAGGTCAAGCGACCTGAGGTAACGAGACCTGAAGCCAACCTTGATCTTGACCTTGACCTCTCGAGGTCAACACATACATACATGTTTCGATGCGGAATGACGAGAGAATTACGATGGTGTTTTTTGTTTTGTCCTAACTTGATTACTTCAAAAGTTATTCGTAAAAAACTGTCATCGCATCTAGAGCCGCTATTTTGACTATTTTCGACCCCTGTGACGGGTGAGTCAACCTCCAAAATGCTTCAAATGCGTCGTAGGACACGCGTCATTGCTGAATGTGAAGCTGACTCGCCTATAACAAAAATCATGGCCTCAAACTAACACCGGCCAAATTGCCCCACACCCCCGGCCAAATAACCCTGCTAGTGGGGCAATTTGGCCGCTTTGCAGACCTTTGTAATCCGCCACAATTTCAATATCAGTAGTTACTTAATCATTTCAAGTTTACTGTCCAAGAAAGTAAAATGTATGCCACACCTGTCCGCGTTGAGAAAATGCAGAAATGTGTTGTCGATTTTTAGTTACATCGTTTTCTAAAAAAAGCGGCCAAATTACCCCACTCTCCCCTACCCAATCAGCTGAATGGTATATGTGGAGTTACTTTTCATATTCAGAAGATATATTTTCTTTTAATGCGTCACGACGTACCGTATGCATGACTTATTTATAATGATAAGGTCAGAGGTCACGTGACCGACCTGACCTCAGGTGACACTGAGGGAAAATCCGAGATACCTATAGGTACGAGTTGTGCGACTTCTTGCGGATACCAGGGCCCGTATTCACGTCGGAATTTTTCGTAAGATTTATCTTACGATCGCTCTTTGTCGTACGATAATTTGGTATTCACGTTGGCATCGCAAACAGTTAAGATTTATCTTACGATCAAAATTTTGGTCGTAGACATTTGTCGTACGATCGATCGTAAGTGCGATTCACGTCGGGACCTCTTAAGTCGAATCTTAAGATGATCGTAAGACCTTAATGATGAAGGTATTGGGAAGATACGACTACTCACTGAGCTGTCGTAAGACGTCACCTATGCTTATGAATTGTATATTTAGGTATTGAAATTGTTGTTTATGATTTTTTTTTTCTTGCGAGCGAGCGCGAAAAAGAGTTTTCGATGTAACGGGAAAATATCGGTATGAGCGGTAGAGCTCGGACCGGCCCGCCCTATAACGCTTTTCAGAAACTTTTACCTCGGCCACCGCTGGGCCGATTGAACCGCGGTCTTTTTTGTTTGGTAGCCCCATCCCTCCTACCTCGTAATTGACTACTCTTGATGCACCTGGGTGATCGCCGTGTCATGTGGCTCTTGCGAAGCCAAGGGTGTTAACTCAGAACCCAAAGTCGTTCTGCTGAATTTACGTTTTTGAGAGGATTATGTCTGAGTAAGCACAGGATCAATTTACTAGGAAATATGTTTGTAGGGTATATTCATCCATTCTGCCGAGGACACGACTTTTCTCGGTGCATGTGGGTGACCATGGCTGCACGTGCCACGTGCATAATAAAGAGATGTCATGTTTGTAGCAATTACAATAACTATGTAATTATCGTGCCCATTGCGCTGAAACTTGGCATGTGGGTAGGCACTCATCGGGCAATGCATTTCCATGTGTCACGTTAGGGGTACTACTGCACGAGCGCACGTGCAGTGGTCGCTCCTAGATCTCGGGAACGGCTGGACCCATTGCGCTCAAAATTGGCACACCGGTAGGGACCGCTTAGTAGCGTGCCGGGCAAAAGTCGTTTGGGACCCCGTTTGCACGTGCGCACGTGCAGGAGGCCGCTTCCATATATAGAGAACGGCGAGGCCGATTGCGCCCAAATTTGGTACACCTTTAGGAACCACTTAACCCTATTAGTGGCAGGGGGGGGGGGGTGTTTTCATCCACCCCTCAGGTTTTTCGGGAATATCTCCGAAACCGCTGAAGCTACGATGCTGAAATTTTCTGACTTTTCCTAAAACTAAATTGGGCACATTCCCTGAAAATTTCAAGTTCATACCTTTACCAGGGGCGGCTCCAGAGCACTGGGAATTGGGGGGTCCTATTCGTGAAGCGAGTCATTTGGGCGAAGATCACGATGCTGATGTATTATAACTGTATACACCAGTTTTACGAACAGTGAATGAAAGGTATCAGGTGATAACATATACAAAGTTATTGTGCATCCTCTTTTGACACGTTTTTGCTATAATAGGCGGATCCAGGCGTCCAAAAAGGGGGGTTATGTTTTACCTCCCAACATAGGTGCCCTGACACCGCCTATGCATGACCAATACAATTGTAGTCGTTCTCTCATAAGAAAATTGTAACATAACAAGACCATTGCCACCCTTTTTAGAAACAGTACCAACAAAAACCTTATTTACTATACATACTTTTTGTGTACCCCCAATCTCAATGATCTGTATCCGCCTATGATTTTTGAAAATGCATATTTTTAGGATCCATATGAATTCCTGGTTCATTCTCTATCGATCGGCAAAAGTTGCGTTAAGATTGGTTCAGAAACCTGGCCGTGATAAACAGTCTAAAATGTATCTGCAATTTGCCCGTTTCGCTACCCCCCCCCCCCTATTGACATTTTTTAATTTTTATTTTTTAGAAATGTAGATCACGTTGAGCGAAATAGAATGCCGTTTGAATTTTGAAAATCGGGCCGTTAGATCTCGAGATATCAGGGGGGGGGGGTCGTAAACAGCCCCCCCCCCTGCCACTAATAGGGGTAGCCAGGAGCCTGCCACTAATAGGGTTAAGACGGTGCCGAGCAAATGTCATTTGTGACTCCGGTTGCACGTGCACGGTCACGGAAAAGAAGCCACAGGTCAATCAGGGGCGAAACGGCCCTTTGCCGTTTCGCCCCTGATCGAGTTAGAGCTTTGCGAGCGTGTTACCCGTGACGAGTGGAAGGCAATAATACCCAGTTTTAAGGTCCTAGGTCATCGGTTGACCTTCCAGGTCAGGTCAATGACCCAAAAGTCGGGAAAATCGGGACCTGTTAGAACGTCGTAAAGTGTGGCTGCTATGAGGGTTTTCAGGGTGCTGATCACGAATGTCATGTTAGTTTTGATCACAGATTATGTCTTTAAGCATTTAGACCAGATCGGGTCAGGTCAGGTCAGGTCAACCGGTAGGGGTTGTGATGGATATTCGTATTACGTGTTGACCGCCTCTGACAGCTTCGTAACATATTACGAAGGCAACAAAACTACTTCGTAAATGTTCAAATGGTTGCTAAATTCGAATTCAGCTCCAAAAACTAGCCTAGAAACATGTAAAACTCGAACAAGTGAACCGAGGTCACCAAAGGTCAGTGACCTGACCTGACCTTCAGGTGACCTTGACATCCACCCTAATGCATGGGAGCAACATCAAATCACATGTTTGAACGTTTGAAACCACGAAAAGCTTGCAAACGCGTGGCTAATGCGAGCCGACATACGCCGAATCGCGATTCCGGCCAAACATGGTCTCGGAAAAGAAGCCACAGGTCAAAGGTCATTTGGGTCTGGGTCATGAAATTTTCAGGGCAGGTGTAAAATTGATCAATGCGAGGGTACTGAAAGTTTTTTTTTACGCGAGTTATTCGCGAAAAACCTTGGGTGGGTTGCATCAACCCCCCTGTGCCGGCGAGGGTTAAAATGCATGTTTTATCGATTTATTCTTCATATGATCATTTGTAATATGATAATATAGTTTCCATAATACCTAATGGTAAAATAATTTCCATAATAACTTAGAAGCATACTAAATCTGTGGTACCTTTAATGTTAAGAATAGCTCACTAATAACTGTTTGAATATATTTCGTTTGCTGTATCATTTGACGGAGGATCCATTTTCTATGTCGTCCCGGAATATGCTGCTAAAAATCAAATCTTCGGAACTGCTACATCTTAAGTTGGGTCGTAGGATGAATCCTAGGACTTTTGACATGAATACCAAATTATCTTAAGATTGTCAACGTGAATTAGAAGTGTCCTAAATATCCAGACTGATCGTACGATAAAAAGTTAAGATGGTCAATATGAATACCAAATCGATCGTACGATGAAAACTGATCGTAAGATGTCGACGTGAATACGGGCCCAGGTTCTGTAAGTTTCATCTCTCTGTATAGTAGGTCATCTGGCACTGAGGGCATTGCAAAGTTGCAACATTTTTGGACCGTGCAGAGGTTCACTTATGACGTCATAGGTTAGTAATCTGACCTGACTTGAAAATGCTGCTGCCCGGCTGGTGTCAAAAGATCCGGCTTGAATCAACTGTCAGGTATGCGAAGTTTCGTCTTTCTAGCTCT